GAACTCCTGGGACTCTTTTCCTGCACTCCAATCCTCAGGTTGCATACAGCCACCTGGGAAGCTTGGCAGAGAGAACTACAGTAGGAAGGTGTTCTGGAGAGAAGGAAGGTAGGAAAAGAGAGAGGAAAAAAAAAAAACAGAGGTGACAAATTCCCCCAACCTATTGGATCCTCTGAACTGCTCCTCTCCGTCTCCTTCTAGAAATACACTGTCAAACAAATTCAAAACTCTCAAAGTCCAACAAGAATGACAAGGAACCCCCACAACTTTAGACAGTGAATAAAGTCGTACTGGTTTCCTTTAGTTAAAAAAAAAAAAAAAAAAAAGAAAAAAAAGAAAAAAAGAATTCTTTTTGTGCCCCGCTTGAGCACATTATTTAGTCACCTAAGTGAAACTGTAGGGATCAAAGTCTCCACAAGAATCATCACCCAGCTTTGTCTTCCTGTTTAATGGGACTGCACAAGACACTTAATTCTGCCTACAGCAGCCCAGGAAATTCCACAGAGCTCATCTTCAGATCACTAAGATGTAATAACAAATAAATACACAGAGTATTACCATAACTATCAGAGAACAAGATGATGGTTAACTGACCTTGGATGGTCTTTAACACAGATCAGATGACCCAAAAGAGAGAAGAGAAAGACTTAGGTTAGGATGGCATATGAAGCCATATCCCAGCCTGAAGTCTTGCCACTCCACATTAAAACAGGTATTAAAATTTTTGCAAGCAGCAGTGCATCAACAACACAGTCTCAACAGTAACAAAAGCAAGCAAAGAGCCTCCAATCTGGGATTAAGCCAAGAAGAAGCTAAAGATCACTCATCCAGCTACTCACTTGTTTCAGGCCATCACCCAGACCTACTGCTTGTGTGTCCACTGGCTCTGACTTCTCTTCTGCTGCCTGATGAAAGATCTCTGCCTCACAGCTGGGTTCCAAAGGAGGCAGCTCAGCCATGAGTACTGCAAAGACAATAACTTGGCTATTATTCTTTCTTGGACTGATGCAGTTACATATTAAACAGAAAGCACTTGAAAAATGAAAGCACTGGTTGCATTTTTCCATTCTCTTGTAGCATTCAGTTACCACATTCACAAACTTTTGCTAGAGAGGCATCCTTCATAAATGAATTCTAGCTAGACAAGTCAGGAACCCTGCAGGTACTGCACACAGTTTTCTGCCATGGCTGTTACAGGAACAGTGAGTACACACAGTCTCTTCTGTGGGAGATTATAGCTTAATCTTTCATAGTAGTATTAGTAAATTTTCAATCTCAAGAAGCGCACTGAAGGGCTCCAATGCCTTGTGGAGCGGGGCATTCAAGAGATCCTTCTACTTTTGTTATCTGCTGCCTGCAACAGTTAGCATTTCTAGTCCTCCACACAGGTTCAGAAAGCTTATGTTTGGAAGGTAGATCTCTTCTTTCACCTGCCACCAAAAACCAGTGGCAACTTGTAGAAAACTTCCAGTTAAGCTCTCTGCTACTGAGACAACTCCTTAAACTACTTCTGCAGCACCACACAGACCTTCCTTGATAAATCAGAAGGGAACAGGGACTATTACAGCAACTGAAAATACAGCAACATCTACCAGAAATACATCTGCTTGTCCACAATGCTTAAAAGACCTACATGTTTCCAGCTAACAGATGCCTTACCTTGTGGCATCTTTTCCTGCTCTTTCTCACTTGAGGAGCTCTTTTTCAGGGTTATCAAGGAACCTCCTTTTGTCTCCTTAACCATAATTGTATCAGACATGCTTTCGAAAACTTCAAATATGGAGAGAAATCCATATTGCCTGTACTGGAACGTCCGCTTAAAGCGTGTGTAGTACGCATCGTTGAAATCCAAGAGCAGAAGTGGTGAGGAACTCAAGAGATCTTGCAGCTCCCTCTTCACTGCTGCTGGCAGGACACGAGTCTTGCCCTTTGGAGGCAAATCCCACTGATTCTGAGAGAGAAAAGCAGCCCTTCCCTTCCTAGCAACACTCCGTGCTTTACCACTTGTTTTCTGTCTGGAAATCAGTTTGGAAATATCTTTGGTGGTCTCATCGGCAACAGCTACAATAGGAAAAAAATATTAGATATTTATTAGCTATTTGAAGACTGGAGCAGTAAACCATTTAAAGCTCTGCATAGGCAAAGCTGCTCTTTCCACTTTTCCCATTTCCCTTTTTAGACAGATGTCTCTTCTAAAAACAATCCTACCAAACCATGTGTGGATTTTAGTACAGCAAACAATTCTCCTTCCCCTCTGCAAAATGGACAGAACCAAATTTAACAGCTGATCTGCACCCTCCTCCCTATAAACCCAGACAGAAGGAAGGCTGGCCAAGTGCATACTGCATCACAAGAAGAAAGCCAGCTGCTGTGGGTTTTGTTGGGCAACAGTAAATGGTCCACTGCTTCTCTCAGCTTGAATTGCAGTACAATCTTAACACAGCTTAAGAGCATCAAGATGCTGATGAACTGAGTCTTGTTACAAAGTGGCTATGAAAAAAGAATCCAACAGTCACCTCAACTCTTTGAAAAGGTAGATAACAGCAGGGCAAGCAGAAATGGTTTTAAGTCGAGGGAGGGAAGGTTTAGGTTGGATATCAGAGGGAAGTTCTCTTCTATTAGAGTGGTGAGGTGCTGCAACAGCTGCCCAGGGAGGTCATGGATACCCTGTCCCTGGAAGTGTTCAAGGCCAGATTGGATGGGGCCCTAGGCAGGCCGACCTAATATTAGATGGGGAGGTTGGTGGCCCTGCATGTGGCGGGGGGGTTGGAGATTCATCATCCCTGAGATCCCTTCCAACCTGAGCCATTCTGTGATTTTAAGCTTCACAAAACCACAAGAAGCTGCCAACAGCACTCAAAAAAGGGCTGTGTTTGTGCACCGGTTCTCCAGTTCACCATCAATCCTAATACTCAAGCAAAAACAAGATGTCAGAATCACACCAAGAACTGGTGTAGAGTACTTCTCTGGAGGTCATCTGGTCACACACACCCCAGTAGCTCCAAACTAGAGCTGGCACTGATCTTCATTCACCTTCCTCACCTACTGCCTTTCTGTACTCTTAGCCAAACAACAGGAAACAGCTAAAACAGAAAGCGCCAGAAATACCAGCAACAGCGGGGAGCTAGAGCCAGCCTTTGGGTGGGCAACCTACAACAGAGCCCTCACTTCAGGGCACCACTTCACCCCGAGGTGTAACTCCAGGCAATCTTTCTCTACTTGCAAGGAGAAAGGTCTCACCTTTGAGGAGAAACCCTCTGTTGCCGTTGGGGCAGATCCGGACCACTCCTGGCATGCTGGCCACCATCTCCATGGTAGAGCAGAACCCCAGGTCACGCAGTGGCAGCGGCCTGCCAACCATGGCCAGATACTCCTGTTCCAGCTGGGCTGGGGTAAGGCCCTCCTTAGCAGCCAGCAGCTGCGACCTCACCTCCTTCTTCAGCAGCTCCATCAGCTGTGCCTGCTGCGACATGTCCGCGCTCTAAGAGAGACAAAAAGCGAGCAGAAAACACCTCACGCCACGACTGCGAAAGGCTTTTTAACACATCACAACCAAAAGCCGGCAGGGCGGCAGGTCAGGCTCAACACTGCCACCACACCCCGGCACCGCCGCCTCAGTCACGACAGCGCGTTTCCGACACGACGCCAAGAGTCGGCACTGCACCTGCGCGCTCCGTTCCCGCCTTTTCGTGCTGAGGCGGGGAGGCGCGCGTTGCTCTTCACAGCGCTCTGCCGACCGTGCGGCGCTGTGGCTACCCCTGTTAGATCCTCTACCCTCTCCCGCTACCCTGCCTGCTCTGTGGGACCGGCCCTCAGCCTTCACCTGGCGGAGCAGGTGTGCTTCCCTTCTGACAGGAAAAGTCAGACCCACGTGTTAAAAAAGTTCTCTTTTCTTGAATGCAATATTTAAACTCAAATGCCAGCGTTGGTCAGGGTGGTCCTGTACATTTTTGTCCCGTCTGAGAGGAAAGCCTACAGTGGAGTGCCTAAAGTGTCATAAAGCAGCTGTTTTCCTACCGACTTCCATCCAGCTTTTCTCACCTATGTTCATCACTGTAGCAGGCTGGTGCGCCTGCCCCCCTGCTTCTAACATTCTGACTCTGAGCAACCCAAAAGCCTGCAATAAAACAGGAATCTTTTAAGAAAACGAGATCAGCACCTCCCTGGCTGCCTTCCCCCCTCCCTCCAGCAGCTCCTCCACATGACACATCTGCCAGAGGCTGAGTGGGAAACCCTGAGCTCAGCACTGCCCGACCACAGGGTTGTCACAGCTTGTATGTTTGAGCCTCATTAGTGTGATTTCCAGTCAGGTATTGATTTCTTTCAGACAAGCAGTGACACAGCGTGATCTGTGGCACTCTTTGCAAAGGTTTCCAGAGACGGTACCACGGTCTGTGCCGTATGGCAGCTCTTTCTCTGGTAAAAAGCTCCCACATTTGCACTGCCTGACTTTTGCTGTGCAAAATTATGAAGGCGTTTTACACACAAACTCTACTGACAATTTAGAGATAAATTCAATAGCTCTGTGCTTGCAAGGACCTCCATGTTCATCACACTCAGAACTGGGAATTTATTGTGCTGAATACTCAGACCATTTGGGGTTTTGAGAGTCAAGCATCTTCTAGTTACTTTTAGGTTGTTTTTCAACAGCTTTGTAGAAACCATCTATTAAAAATCATTTTGATTGCATTTGATTTCCAAAGGCAGGAAGGTAAAACATAATGTCTTCCTGCAGTTCTCCCTGTTATGGTCTAACATTCTGTTCATCTCAACAGCCATGTGAAATGAAAGCAGAGCAGGAGGGAAACAGCTTTCTCACTTCACTGTCCATTTTGTCTGACAAGCTTATGATAAATTTGAACAAGCCTCCTTGATCTAACACCTCCTCTTCTCTCCTCCCCTGCCTGGATTTTCTGTCTGCAGCAATAAATTCAAGCACTCAGGCACGGATTCTTTCCACTCCCACAGGAAGCTGTATGCTCCTTGGTGCAGAGAATCAGATGAGGATGGATAAGAGATCTCGAAGCTCTTCCAGGGAGTCCCATAGGAGAAAGAGAGAGTCTCCAGCTACACAGAGGAAACGGGAGAAGAGGGAGAGAAGCAAAGAAGCCAGCAAAGAAATAGGAGATATAAGGCAGGAGAAAACAAAGGAGATTAAGAGCGCTGTAGGCACTGATGGTAGGGTGCACACATCCACAGTGGTGGACGTGGATGATGTGATCTCTGATGAAGAAATGGAGGCAATGATGTTGCTGGACAGCGAGCATCAAGAAGAAGGTATGATTTATAGAAGGGAAGTGGCAGAAAAGCTACGGGCTCTTTGACACTGTGTGGGTGACAGTGTCTTTGCTTTCTGCATGGTGAGTGTTATCACCCGTTGCATAGATGTGTAATTGTCCTCAAGACAGATTATGGGAAGCTCCAGCCAGCTTCTACAGTCAGTACAGGCACATCAGTGCTGTCTAGCAAAGCAGTGAACTTTGAAACAAGCAGTTACATTCCCAGCATCATTTATGCGTCAGTTCACTACTCCCCATTTTTTTTTTTTCCTGCTCTTTTCTCATTATTTTCTTGCTTGCCCTCCTTTAGGCAGACAGAATTAGCTTTAATGCCAGTTCACAGCCCTAAGAACTGTGCTGTAGGGAGAATGCTTGAGGCATACAACTGTAACTCCCTTCAGGATAGCCTCTGAGTGCAGCTCTATTCTCTGAAATGTGGCTAAAATCCTGTTCCAAAAGACCCTGAGATCTTTTAGATTCCCCAGTGGAGAGGGGTATTTCAGGCTGTGAGCATTGAATATTGTGCTTTATTTGCAGTCTTTCTGTTTGCTTAATCTTTTCAGATAAATTTCTGTGATTTCGGGGTCAGCCAGCAAGTTGCCCATTCTGAATCTTTCAGTGCTGCTTAGTTGTCATATAGATCTACTGTGAAGAAGCCAAAAAAAGGAGACTTAAAATTTGTGAGCCTGTCTTGGAAATTCTTGACCACCAGAGACTGTTCTTGAAACACAGCTTGAGAGAGCACTGAATAGGCAAACACCAAGTCTAGGCAGAGGACCAGCAGAAGCTGAGCTGTGCAGGCAGTCGTCAGGCCATCTGTATTTTGGGAACTTTCCTATCCTAACGGAGTCATGTTGGATTTCCCCTTAGGTATGAAGTCTCCCGGTCTCAACATCTGTGAGTGGCTTCTGACCATATTGTCTTTCCTGTTCATCGTAATGACTTTCCCCATTTCTGTCTGGTTCTGCATGAAGGTAAGAATAGGCATGATGCCTTTTTGGATTTAGTATTTGGTGTCTGTTGTGACTGTAACCAGCATGTGTTGGTCATAAGCATATAGCTTAGGTTCTTGTTATTAAACAGTTTGCAGGTCTGTTCACTTTTAAACATAATCTTCAGCTCACCCAATCCAAACATAGTTGCGTTGCAGCAGCAGGGTAAAATAGATTTTGCGTTACAAATTTAAAGGGAGGTTGGATCTTTCAATTAATAGCAGATTTTTCTTCTTCCTTCAGTTTTCTCTAATTTATAGCATGGTTACAAGTAGACATATTTTGATTACAGCTTCTCAGGAAATAGATGAGGCACAAGGTGTTCAAGTTCAGCCAAACTACAAGAAAGCAGAATGCTGGCCTCATCCTGGGAAATACTGAGCAACTCTAGCATGGGCTGCTCTCACCTAATCACAGGCTGATTATATGCAAGCCAGCCATCAGTTTTGGGTCAGGTTTTCTTCTGGGGTAAAGAGGCTTAGGAACGGTTGACTCCACTACCTCCAATCTGCTGAAATCCTCTTTTCAAAGGACTTTACCAGAACAGAGGTCTTCCTATGCACAGCCCAGTGAGATTTTTTTGCTGGTCCTATGCCTTCCACTCCAGCCTAGCTTTTGTTTCTCTCTGCAGGTAGTGCGGGAGTATGAGAGAGCCATTGTTTTCCGGCTTGGGCATCTCCTTCCTGGCAGGGCCAGAGGGCCTGGTAAGATGCTCACTGAGTTCCCCCCAGCCATATTGTTCCTCTTCATCATGCTCTACCAAAGCTCTTGTCCTGGTGCCCTCCAGGCAGGTACAGTTAACCAGGAGACACGGCTTCTGAGGTCCAGCAGCTTCCAATGGCTCTTCCCAATACAGAATCAGACTCACAATTTGAGCCTATGTATTTGCTGTTCCTTCATAGTTCTGTGCTCAATCCCCTCTACTGCTCCCTTGAGCTAAAGAAGCAATTTCTGTGGTTTTGATGATCACCAAAAGATTTTCTTTTCTTTCCACAGGTCTTTTCTTTTTCCTTCCCTGCCTGGACACATATCACAAAGTGGACCTCCGCCTCAAAACCCTAGAGATCCCCTTCCACCAGGTATGGCTACCATCCCTTCTTTACATTAATTCTTGGATCTCTTTATCTGATTGTATTTGATGACAGTCCTGATTTTACACTGACGTCAAAAAAAACAGCTTATGCTTAAGATAGTGATTCTGGTTCCATGTCACTCCACTGGGCACAAGATACTGTTAAACACTGCCAGTTCTTAGGGTCTCGCTGCAGATCTTAGATCAAGCCATCTCTGCAAAGCCTCAGCTGCTGGATTCCTGTGACTGTATGAGACATGTCCTTTACCTCTCTGCCATTTTAAAACCACTGCTTTTAATCCCGTTCAGTTTGACAAGCTTTAGTGGTAACCAATAGGAAGCAGCTGAGCCATGGATATTGGAGCAGTTTTTACCCATCACACTGAGGGTACACACAGTGGGGACAGGAAAGCAGACTGAGATCTTACAATGGCATCTCTAAGTGTGGCAACTCAGCTCTTGTACAAGTCAGGGAAAGAGCTGAGAGCTCACTGCTAACTTTGAAACTGGCACCCTCCTGGCCACAGTCCCACAGGTCAAACCTCCCAATAGTCCTGTTGTCTGTGCCACTGCCTTTATCTAGTACCATCAGCAGGTTCCCTCCCGTGGTGTAAAGCAAATCCCTCTGGGGATGGTACTCAGCAACACCGAGCACATAACAGACAACAGGAATGGAGCAAGCAGCTGTGGGCCGAGAGACACATGGGGATGTTTGGCTGCTTGCAGTCTCTAGCCCAGCAACCAAACTCAGGAGACAGACACAACGATGCTATACCAGGGAACTGAGATCCACAGGTGATGCAGTTTGCCTAAGGTCAGAGAGTAGCAGAGGTGACAACTACAAAGATGTACCCATCTAGCTAGTCTTCCTCTTTCCCAGAGTTGTGTACTTTTCTGTGCTACCTTAAAGTTGTCAGAACCAGATCCATCTTCCCTCATGTCTTCTGCTTAGGTGGTGACTAAAGACATGGTTACACTGGAGATAGATGCTGTCTGCTATTACCGTTTGGAGAACGCCTCTCTTCTCCTCACCACCCTCACCAGCATCTCCAGTGCCATCCAGCTGCTGGTGCAAACCACCACAAAGCGCCTCCTGGCACATCGAGCCTTCTCTGAACTTCTGTTGGAGAGAAAGAGCATCAGCCAGGAGATAAAGGTGCTTCTGCAGCTGGGGAGAGGGTGGAGCAAGCAGGGAATTTAGGCTCTGCTAACAAGCTTGGAAGATAATCAGTCCTAAATCACAGACAGTATTTTGCAAAAGAGTGCGATAAGAACATGTGCCTCCTTCATTGAAAAGTGGGAAATTTTCCTCTTTTTTTAAATCACTTTAGGGGAAGGAATTACAACGTGGGTCTCACAAGCATATGTGGGTAGTAGCAAACATTGTGATGTGAGAAGCGTGAAGGAACCCCTTAAATCATTTTCATCAGTGCTCTGCAGTACCTCAAGTTCTGTGCTTATTCCAGAGAGGACTTTCTCAGGAGAATGGTTTTCTGCTGTGCGAGAGAGATGCCTTAAACCCTGAATACACAGGATCTTCAGCAGCAGTTCTCTGTGGCCACTGTATGCAAACTTTATTATACCACTCAGGAACTGAATGTTTCCTATGGAATTGGATTGGTTCTGCAGTCAACCAGTATGGACTAGCTAAATCATACTACGGGCAAATACAGATCAGAAGTGAGGGATGTAATTTTTATTTCTGAGAGTCCACGCACAGTATATAATAAATCCACCTCACTGCCTTGAATTAACGTTCCTGAACTTCTAAGTCCCTCTGAGGAGCCTGGACAAGGGCTTGTGTTCTCCTTGTGCTCTAAAATATCTTCCTCTTGACAGGTGGCTTTGGATGCGGTCACAGGCTGCTGGGGGATCAAAGTGGAGAGAACAGAAATGTAGGTAGGAAGTGGTGGTAGCAGAGACTTTCTTGCCCTTTTGCAAGTATCCATTCTGCTTTGCTCACATTTCTTCTTTACCCCTGGCCCCCTCCCTGCAGCTCTTCTACAGCCCTCACCTCCTTGTTTTCACCGCCCCTTTCAAACCTCTGTCTCACATAAAACTTTCATGAGCAAAGATGTTACTTGCTCCTGCACTGACAGCCAAATGCAGAATCCTTAGCTGGAATCTCATCAACTCTTCTGCAGTTCTTTTAGCCTAAGAGTCACACAGGCAGTGAACATGCTGTGTCCCCCCGAAGTCCTCAGGGTCTTAGCAGTGGTTGGTCTCAACTCTCAGAAGCCTGTAGAGAAAGGTGGGACTTGCTCATCACATAGAGGGCCGTGGAAGAGAGAGCCAGGCAGCAGAGAAGCACATCTGTAAAGAGAAGGAAATTTCTGTGGCTGTCTTGAGAGCAGTCTCCCAGTGGATCCTCTGATACCTCACAGACTTCATAAGCCTAAACTTCAAGCCTCAGAGACACAAACAGAAAAGGCCTCTCTGCTGCCTAGTGATTATGTACATCACTAATGATCTAGTTATCATTAGAATTATTTTCTAATGATTCCAGCTTGGATATGTACAAAATCAGGCTGGAAAAGAAAGATTGGAATAGAGGTAGAATACTAAAGGGAGTAATTTATAGAGGGACACGCAGAGAACAAAGGATGTTTGTGAACACCTCTGTAGAGACCAGTACTTGAGCCCATTCTAAGCCCTAGAGGGCCAGCACAGGGCTGTCAGATGAGCCTAGAGCCCTTCTAATCCTTATCCTTCACTACCACAGCAACAACGTGCAGCTGCCTGCTGAAGTCCAGCAGTCCTTGGCCGTGGAAGCAGAAGCCCAGAGGCAGGCCAAAGTGCGGGTATGCGAACACTGAAGACCTCCCATCTCCTTCCAAGGCATCGCTCTTTCCTTTCCCCCACCCTAGTTTGAGGTCTTTGGAACATACCACAGTAGGGTACAGCTCTGGGAAGATCTGTTCAAGATCTTCAGATCCTGTTCGAGAGCTGTGTCAAGCAAGGTGAGCTGCAGCATGGGCCAGCGCAGTGGAATCCCAGATCTGGTACCTATGCACAGGTCAGAAAGACACATAAGAGGCTGGTGTCATCCCTGACCACAGTGCCTATGAAAACCTCTCCCTTCTCAGGGTTTCACTCTTGCTTGGAGACCCATCCAGGAGGGTGGAGCTGGGCTGCCACTACTATCATGTACCCCACACCATCCTTAACCCTGGGCTGTCTTCCATACCTTACACTGAGCCTAGGTAGGATTTGTGTCCAAGTACCCTTCTCACAAGCTTAGCCTGTGGGCTGCCCTCTCACATGCTTTTGCAGCACACATGAGTCCAGTTGTAAGCTCTGATGGAACTAGTAGCACCCAAAGTACACATAGCTTTGGTGAAAACAAGTTAGACGCGAGATCTAGTACATGCCATGATCAGAACAGCAGGAATGTTACAGGGGCCCCAGAAAGTTCGTGGTGGCAACTTCCCTCTGTAATAAGTAGCCTACGCCGGGGCCTTACTCCCTGCCTGACAAAAATCTTTATTCTCCTCCTTGGTAGGTGATTGCTGCTGAGGGGGAGAAGGCGGCTTCTGAGTCCCTGCGGATGGCAGCTGAGATCCTGTCCAGTGCCCCTGCTGCTGCTCAGCTCCGTTACCTTCATGCACTGCACTCCCTTGCTGCAGAGAAACCCGCTGCCTTCATCTTACCCTTACCTTTGGATCCCACAAATCTGGTCTCTCCGGCTACCCGCAGCCCTCCAGGAGTGAGCAGCATCATCACAGACACCTCACAGCTCCCAGAAAGCGTGAAAGACAAGAAGGACTCACCCATGCTGTAAGAGTTCTCCCAGAAATAGTTGCTATAAGCACTGGTTAATCCTGCTCAGAAAGGAGCAAGATGGCTGATCTATGGGGAGCCCAACAGCAGGTACTGGACTGGAGACAGGAGGGAAGGCAGCCCAGACCTGTAATATAAAAGTAGATTGTACATGAAAGAAGCTTCTGCTTGTTTTGAAAAGGGAAAAGTATGGAGCACAATAAGCAGTGTTGGTGCATATGTGAGCAGGGGACTGAGGGAGAAGTATCATCCCTTCCCTTTCACATCAGCTGATGCACTTTGACACAAAAGATCCCTGGGATCTGATCTGTCCTACCCTCATCACATTGGCAGGAAAGCCTGATAGCTTCCGTATGTTTAAACACCCCCATCTCCAAACAAACAGCCTGTCACACATCATTTGTTACAGGGAAAAATCCACAGTGGAATAAAAGAGGCAGGCACAGGGTGCCTCCTAGGAGGGAATGTCTTATCAGAGGGCATTGTTTTCCAGTGTCCTTACACTCAGGCTTTTGGGGGTTTTCCCTTTCACAATCTTGGCTGAAAAAGCCTTTATTTTTATTTTTATTTTATTTTTTATTTTTTAAATAAAAGCAAGTCCTGCAGCTGGGTGATAAACAAAGCCAAGGCAGAAGTTCTTGGATAGGAACATGTTCCTCTTCACAGCCCACCTCTGCGTGCTGCATCCTGAGAAAGTGGGAGCGGTTGGGTGCTACAGATGGGAGCTTTGCTAAGGTGCCTTTTCCTCTGTGTGAATTGGTGGGGGAAAGACAACAGCCAGGCAGGTGGGGTGGGAGCCTGACAAATGAGGGAAATGGGAAGGGGCTTAGCAGGTAATGCAGGTAATTACACGCAGGTAATTTGGTAGGTGCTGCCAACCTGGTTCTCCTTTGACAAGAGAATGAGCCAGGTCTTGTCCATGGTGCACTAGATATAAGATTTCAGTTGCCACCCATACATTATACATATTTATATATATAATATATATATTATTGTATATATTTATTTAATAGGCAACCAGGATGCTTAGGCCTAGAGACTAAGGAGAAAAGCAGGAAAGTGGCAATGCTTGTGTCTTGCTTGCTTGTGTAGAGGGAGGAAGGCAGGCTGTGCTGCTACGTGCTTCCACTGGGTGGTGAGACAGGACAAGATCTGAGCTTGTGAACCTCTGCTTCCAGCAGGACTGTCTGAAAATATAAGGAAAATGACCTATTTAGCCAACTCCCACTGAGCTGAGAAGTGGGAATCCAGCACTAAGCAAAGAGCCAGCTAAAAGCCTTGAGAACAGTTCTTTTGCCCACTGCAGCCACTTTACATACTGTAAGCTTTTACCTTGATAGACATGGGGCACTGTCAAACTCACAGGGAAGGAATGGAGAAAGTCCTCAAAATTCCTATGAGATTTTCCCTGCCGAAAGCTACTTGAAATAGCTTTACATACTGTAAGCCTGAAAGACCTGGGGCACTGCCAAAGGAAATAACACAGTGCCCTTGCTTTCTTTGCTCTTGGTTCCTTTGGGTGGACATTAACTCTGCTCTTCTCCTTTCACCTTGACCTGCAGCATCTATTCCTGCTTCCAAGCAGATCTCCCTGGCGTGCTGCTGGCCAGTAGAGGCCAAAGGAAATTTTGTGTCCCCTGCTCTTAATCGCCCACAGTAGTTTCCCATCATCCGTGTGTCCAGCCGGGGTGGACCAGCCAGCTGCTCACTCTTGCTTTTTCACTCATTTTTCTCAGTCTCTCTTGGCCTGCTAGTTACATTCACACACTTGGCTCATACCATTAATTAAGACTTCTGGGACTGTGGAACTGTGTCTCAAGGATGGTCTGCAGGTACTGGTTTAACATTTCTACAAGGGATAGAGAGTCTACTTGAATAAGTATCAAGTAATTTTGTATTTAATCAGCTCTTTCCTCTCTATGAAATCTCCTTCTCAACACTCAGTGCTCCATGTATCTCACTCCACTAGTATTTGCTAGTCTTCTTGCAGCAGGGCCTCTCAGTACACTAGTCTCCTTAGAGGTGGTTGAGAAGGGAAAAAAAAAAAACAACAAAAAACCTCACCTGTGAACTTAGTGATCACACTGCATCTGAGCTCCAGATGTAACCTCACATCCGACTCATTCTACCACTGTAACTGCAGCTGGCTGGCTGCAGGATTCCATTGGCTGCTGCTTGTATGTCTGTAATAAAACTCAGTAGTGATCTAGACACAGAAAACTAATTCTGGGAAGCTCTGTAATCTTCCACTGATGAACATGAGCTTTATATTTACTTCTCTAGGGCTGGTTCTGTTTTTTTTTCTCATGATGCTGGAATAAGCCCCTGCTTCCCAACCAGCGCAAAAGGGTGTAAACACCACACAGAGTGACCTACAGATGATCCTTTCTCTGAGCACTTCTCTGGCTATATTTCTAACTTCATGTGAAATGATCCAACCAGACCAAGATTCCTTGGCACATCAAGGACCACCACCTCTGCAAGTAACGTCTGAAAGGAACAGTGCTCGGCCAGAGACACATGGTATGAGGCCAGGGCACACATTACCCTATTTGCACTCATTTTTAGAAGTCAGGTGCATCTTTCTTCAAACATGCAACTTCTCTACAAAGTTGCAGGAAAGGCAAATGACAGCTAATTGCTTCCTCAGTTCCAAAGAATCCTTGTTCCAGCAGGATTTTCTCTCTTTAACGTATACAGAGTTGGCAGAAACTTGTAGTTTTACCTTCAGGAGGTATAGACTCAAAACCTCAAAGAAGGAAAACGTCATTTAAAAATGTGCTTCAGTGTTACTGATATATGGTAGGTTCCATAATAGAATTTACTCCAGGGGAATTGGCAGGGGCTGTTTGGAGCAGACATGATTCTTGACAGCTTCAGAGCTGAGACTGGGTCAAACCTCAGAGTCATGCCAAATCCAGGCAGCTGCTGCTGTCCTGGCAGAGCTTCATAACTACTCAGACTATCCCAGGCTGGTGCCTGACTGAGGCAGAAGCCCTGGGGACCACCTCTCTGGGTGGTTTGGCTTTTTCAGGTTGTAGGGGTACTGCATGTGGGTATATCAGCATACAGAGAAGGTGAACAAGCTGTAGAGATGCTAGAGCTGTTGGGGGGAAGTAGAGGACAAGCACAAGACAGCTGTGGAAATGGTAGAACCAGCTAGAAGAACAACACAAGTGCCCAGATGGCAGAGAGAGAGGAGTGGCTAATATAGAATAAAGGCAGTGGACTGGAATGAGAAACTATTCTGAATAGTCACCAAGAAACTGCTCAGGCATTGTTATTTTTTATTTTTTGCTTTTTCTGGATTGCTTGTGCTGGCCAGAGGTGGAAGTTTTGGGAGTTGAGCAGGCTTCCCCTTCAGGCAAGCTTTCTTGTAAACATTTTTCTGAAAGGAAAAAAAAAAAACCAACAACAAAAGCCTTTAAAATGCAGAGTAAATACGTTTAAAGTATTTTAAACAAATTGGTCTCTCTTCTTACTTTGATATCAAAGAGAATATACACTAGAGTGTTAAGAGGAGACGTTTTAATTCCCACTTATTCTCCTTCACATCTTATTTCTGAGCAGATCCAGCCGAGAAAGGAAATATATTCACTTACAATAAACATGCCACCTAAAGAACGGACTGCCACACCACGTGGGCAAAACCAAGCCATCAGCAGCTGGAGACAGCAAGAATGGCCTCTGCTACAAACACAAAAGCTATGTGGGATATGAAGGGACCTAAACATTATTTTTTTTCTACCCACAAATCAGCGATTCTAAACAGACCTTGACTGTAACAGTACTTAAAGGGAAGGCGAAGCCAATTACAGTGACATCTAATATCTAGAATATATGTAGGCCTGGTGTCATATGGCAAAATCAAAATTATTTTATCTCAAAAACAGACAGAGTTCAGCAGTTCTTTCTGACCCAATCTGGAATGAGAGCAAAAGCCTCCCTGCTTAGCTTCTGACAGCGAGTCAAGACAAGACCCTGGGATGTGCTCAGGAAGAAAGGAGCATGTGCTAAGTGGGACATGAATGAGGTATCCTCAAAAATTGCTTCCCACTCTGAGTCCAGGAGAGGTTCAGATCACTGATTATCCTGACCTTGCCCTTCTTTAGGTGTTGGTTCTGGGACGACTTTGCCCCTTTTCTCCAGCTCACTCTCTAGCTCCTGGATTCTCTCCAGGGCTTCTTCCAGCTTCTTCTCAAAATCTTCAGATCTCTGCTCTGCATTCTGAGCACGGATTTCTGTTTCTCTGAAACAAAGAAGCAAAGATAATGCTGAAACTTGAAATCTAAGCAGGTGCTGGTAGAATACTTAAAAGAAAGATTTAGAAAGCTGAAATGTGCAGTGGAATTGAACAACTCTATAAAATACAGTTGTGGTTTCATAGAAGGGCATTGTAAGAGATGGAGACATCATTGCACAGCTATGCAAGCCTGCAAAGTGAATTCATTTTAAACTCAGCATTTGCTAACAAAGTGTTAAAAGTATCACATCTTTAGCTAACATCACAATGAACGGTTTGAGACAATCAGAAGAGAAAGAAACCCAAAGCTAAGCTAACAGAGATGGCTGAAGCAGAGCCTAATCAGAAAGCAGAACAGATATAAATGGAACCCTGCCCTGTTTATCCCTCCAGCATGGAACCAGTACTCACATAAGCTGCACTTGCAGGTGTTCCAGCAGTGCCAGGGCTTCAAACTCTTTCTGAGAAAAGGGAGTTGACGACTTGCTGGCAGTCATCTCTCTCTGGTTGGAAAGAGCACAATCTTCCACAAATAAACATGAAACCAACAATGCTGCATTTCATCTAGAATATTGTTTGGCTGGACACTGCTGGTGTCTCTGTACATGGTCACGACACAGACAAGAGCTCAGTATCCATAAATCATGTAAAACCAGAGGTTAAGTCAAGCATTTTCTTTTGATTGGATCCAATCATGTATTGACATTAAAAATAGACTAAAATAACTTCTGATTTGGACATAAATATCTCACTTGCACTTAGTCTTGGTTGCATGATTGCCCATGCATCACTGGGTTACAGATGTTGGAGATGGCTGTAGCCTGACCAGGAGTGAAGTAACTAACAACCAATGGCCAGAGGCAGCTCCTCAAATTGTCCAGCAGGCATTAGTTTTCTTCATTTGAAGAAAAGAACCAGGACTTTTGCGGAGTCCCATTAAAAGACTCCTAATCTAAGCTTAGTAAGGTTACTATGATTTCCAGAGATTCATTTTTACTAACCAATCTAAGTCCATAAAGAAACACTCCTGAGTCTCTCACTATCACTGCACTACCTGCTCTGCCTGCCTCTAAAGCACTGAGAGCAAGGCACACTTAACAATGCAGCATACTTAAGGAGTAGCAATATCCACTGACAGTTTGCTAAAGCTCCACAATTCACATACATCTGGGCTCTGCTCTGAAGGTCTGACTAGCTAGGAAGTGACTGGAGAAGGCAAACTGTATGACTTCTGAAGAGCAGCTTTACAAACTGATGCCTTTAGCCTGGACTACTCTTCCAAAGAGTACAATCCCAAAGGTAAGTGGAAAAAAATAGAGACCCAGGAGGTACAGTTGGCCAAAAGCAACCTGAACTTCTTGCACTCCTACTGTTCTGAATATCCCTGAATCTCTTCTTCTGTGTATTCAGCACCGTATTATTTTTACCATCCCAGGAAGTGCTGGCAACACTCAGTCTCTGATGATAGTCCTCGTTCAGACTACACACATCACCTGTGACTGGACCCAACTTCATGGTACAGGGCAGGAATGCATGAGCCACGTGGATGAACTGAGGCAGCAGAAATTGTGCTAATGAATATTTTGTAGTGGCAAGAAGAGAGACTGAGAACACCAGCACCTTTCACTCATGCAGCAGGTCCAATATAAACATTAAACAGTGTCTGACAACAAATAGACAGCTAAAATCCAGCTCCAAATCTCTGCCACGTGTGCTAAAAACATTAGTGTAGTGGAGATTCCTACCCCTGTAACTGAAATGATGTCTGACTTCAAGGATTTCAGGTGGATGTTGGAGTCTTGTCCTACATATCTGATCACATCTGTAGTAGCTTCATCACCTTCACTCATATCATCTGTACCAGCACCTGGTTGCTCCTAAGAGAGAAAATGAACAAGAAATAGAAGAAGTATCACTAGCTTAGAGACACTGTAGGTAAAAGGCCACGTTTCCCATCACGTGCACCAAGCAATAAAAAAAATCCCAACTCTGCTGGAAAGTAGCATCTTGCAGCTACTACTGTCACCTGCATAAGGACAATTTTCTCCTTTACTGTTGATGTTTCTTTCTCTGTTATTCGTTTCTTTTCACTGTTAGCATCATCAGCTTTAAGCCCTTCTTGAGTTGAAGAAATGATAGTGTCCTTAAGTTTCAACTCCAATTCCTGTAAGGCACCACAATAATTTGGTTAGTACCAAAAGTGCCTTTTGTCCATCCAAATAACCCAGGCAAAATGGCTGGTCTCTGACTTCCTCTTGCACACATTTAAACTTGGGCTTCATATATCTCATAAGCAGGACCCACTATGGTATATTTGTTTTTTATAGGCCATTGTATAGGGGGGAAAAAAAAAAGGGCAACACATGGCCTACAGCAGTGGCAGTATACTGTAGTACTGACATACTAGTCATAAGTACACAGTTATGACAAACATCACTCTGCTTGAGGACTGAATTGAGAGCTGATGCAAATAATTTGTGCATCATTTAGGAGTAGGAAAACTATTTCCTTGTCATCTGAATTTAGGTTATGTGTGACGTTACATCAATGCCAGGCCAGCCATATATAAAACACGTAATTGTCACAGGCAGTGTGAGACACCCATTTCATATAAAGAACTGACTAGAAGTTCAGCCTGATTTGGACAAGCCAGCCAAGAGAATTCCAGCTTAAGTCCACGCCAAAGGATGAAGCGAAAGCTAGCAGGCACCATGCTGAACTGTTCTACCAGTGCAGTAATACCTCGTAGCTACAGTGAAGCTTCAGTTTTGCCTCAGTAATACCCTCACAAGAAGCACAGTGATTTTTAACCAGTTTACAGTCTTCATTCTTCAAAGCTTTAACTGCAGCTTTGAGTACATGGAGGTCTCCATACTGGATCTTCGCTCAAATTGAATCATAGCTGCTTGCTTTAGAAATTTTAAAGCAGATCTTCATTCAAACTGGTTCAACGTAGAACAGCAAATGCAGTCAACATATGTACCTCTGATCCAAAGAAGTTTCTCAGTTCTTCTAAATGCAGAAAGGAGACTGGAGTGCCTTTGATCTCTGAAAGGAGAAGGCTACACACTTGAATCCAATTACAGCACTCAGTCTGAGAAGACATAACGGAAAAAGAGGCATTATTAATTAAAAAAAAAAATAAAAATCTGTGATCATAATTATTCAGTCAGTTAAATAATTCCATCTATCTTTATCTGTTCCAGGGACACGAATGGACCCTTCCATTCACACCTCACAGAGCAAATGGAAGACATTTCTCCAAGCTTCCAGATATGGTATCCATCACTGTCTAATTACTCAATTCCTTCAACACGCTCCACCTCAGGCCAGCAGAGAAGGTCTCTGTCCCAGCCCATGTGGGGAGAAGTGAAGGAAAATCTGAAAGTTTACTTTTTCACTTGCAAAGCTAACATGGAACAGAAACTTTCCAGTCCCTGAAAAGAAACTTCTTGAATTCCTTGTAAAAATCTCATCAGTTCTGTGCTCAGTGCAGTGTTAGGCTTTAAGAAGGGTCTACATCTCAGGTTCCTAAAACACAGACAAAGCTTAACTAAACAGTGAAGATGACAATGGTAGCAATTACCAGAGGAAGAAACGTACACGCTATCACACTCCCTGCACTGCTTCAAATAAAGATGCCATCAACATACACTTTCAGTAAGAGCTCCAGTATAGAGTCAAGGAGACAGAAGGTAGGCTAGATGACAGCAAAACACTTCAACAGAGTCTGTATAATGGTATATTGCACCAAACACCTCCAGAAACTCCCAAGCACTGCTCAAATCTCAATTTACATGGCTCTGACAAGCTTTAACGTAGAGATGAATCTGCTGCCATTCATACGGAATAAATCTAGCAGGATATCCTGAAATGAGATAAGGAAAGTGTTAAAACTGAGTCATGTTCAGTTTTATCCACTTTCCACTTTCGTAGAGTCAGTAGGCAATATGAGGGATCAGGGTAGTTCACTGGAGTAGTAAGAATCTTCCTCCTTGAAAATAATCACATTTATTTTTCTCTACCTTTCACAAAGCAAATGTGGTCTCATGGAGGTACAGACCTAGACAGCTGGAAACATAGTGGCCTTTTACCTTGAGTTTATCCAGCTCCTCTAGCTCAAAATCAGCTTCTGCATCCTTCTCTGACCGTTTCTTCCGAACAATTGCGCTGACAACCTCACGGCAGCAGCTGCAAAGATGGAGAATGTCATTGTCACTGTAGGAGTGCCCTCAAATGCTTTCTGCCTTTCAGGCAGCATCCCATTGCTGTCAGCAAGATGTACGAGCTACCTATAGACTTCTGCGCTAGAGAACAATCCTCACCTGCACCACTCACACAACGACCTCCCAGGCAGCTTGCTTGTGCCTGTACTGTACTAGCCCATAGAGGAAATAAGAACACAGATGCAGGCTTTGCTCCAGGTGACCTGGACTGCAGACTCACTGCCTGTACTGCTTTACATCCTCCAGAGGTGATGCTCAGAACAGTAGACAGAGCCCACAGAGTTACAGATGCATGTTTTATAGCAGTACCAGGTATGAAGCAGATACTGTCATTCTCTTTAGATACACCTATCTTACGAGGCTCCCTCCAAATTCCAGTAAGGACCATTTAAAACCTGGGAAGAGATCTAAGGAAAACCAAATTGATCAGATCTGCTGCCTCGAGGAATCTCTTTCGTCGCTACACATTTTTCTTTAATTAGCCTCCTTTAGTCCAAATTGAAAGTCTCTCTTCATACCTGACTACAGAACCAGACAGTCCACACATCTTGGCAATCAGCTTTTCTGCTTCTTCCTGTAGTTCCTGAGCACTCTGAAGACTGAGCTCCTTGCCCATCTCGAAGTCTGCCTCTTGCTGCTGGGGACACTCACAGGACAAGCGATCCGCTATCACATATTGCAGCAAATTCACCAGCCACAGGGTCAGGTTTCTGTGCAGTTCAGTCACCTGCACAAAACATCAGAGCAAATCTAAACCAGTAATAAGTGAACGATCTTATCAAGTAGTCTGAATTCAGTGCATTTCACTTAAGCCAATATTCTACCCTAACTCAAGCTGACCTAATAACAGAAACATTGACCTGTATTTTTTTTCTCCCATATTCATTCCTATTACCAATAAATATTTTCCTGCTATGGATCTGTCTTTCTGCAAAGTGTTTGTTCAGCAACATGAGCTCTTTATCAGCTATGGGGCATTCTTGTCCATATTTCAGCAGCAAACCAAAAATCACACATCATGCTTGCAAAACATTTAGAAGATACACTGTGAGAACCTCACTAACACAAACACACAGAAAAAAACCAACATCAAAAACAGAGAGCTAGCAGCCAAAACAGTTCTCTGAACAGAAAATGTCAACATTACTCCAGAGGGAAAGCTTGCTAAAGATTAGCAAAACATAATTCTGTTGATTCACTCTTTAGTGCACTATTTTTAGTAGTCTTGATATGTTCCCCTGGCTGGAAAACAGAAAGCCGCAACTCAAGCAAGAAAGAAGGTGTTAAAGGAGAAACAGGCATTCCTCTCAGCTGTGGCCTGTCCAGACAAAAATTGGAGGAAAGACTGAATCCTAAATACAGTGCTTTACTTGCTTCCACTTACTTCTTCATTAAGATGCGTGGTGCTCTTCTCAGCCTCAGTATTCACGGACAAAATCCATTGTTGAACCCTCTTAAAAAATTCTCTAGGTACCACCCTTTAAAATAAATTATGCAGAGACAAAGTGACATCTAATGCACCACACCCAGGGATCTCCTGTCGCAAAGACACCTTTGTTCCCAGCTCAAGGAAAATAACATTTAGCACACCAGATGCTGGGGACGTGGCACAAACAGTTTTATTAACACTGTGGTTGTGGGCAAGCTTGTCATTTGCAAACAATCTCTAACATATATGTAATGCATGTCCCCTGCAAATACTTCACTTCCTGATGATATTTGCCAAAGACAGAGCATGATGAGAAGAATGCCCCCACAAATCTGCCTGTAAATTAACCACAAATTGTAGTTTTTTTCTTCAAATGCCACGATCTCGAAACAGGTGGCACTCAGTGATGTTCCAGGAGTTATATTGTAGCCACCAACTGCCTTGACAGATACTGCCAAATCAAAGCAAACGGCCAAATCACAGCAAATGAAAGGCAGCCACCAATCATTTTAACACTTCAGCTCATCACAGTTATCCCACTGCCAGTTTCTTGTGCCAGAGTCCCCACAAAACAACATTTTTCTTTTCTTATGCACGTAGTTTCATGTATAAGGCACAATTAACACCTTTGTCCTTACGGGAAATGCAGTTCCATATCATTTTCAGCTTTATGCAACTGACTGGAGCCTATAATGCTCATTAATGCATCCACTTGGGCCAACCATGAAGGAATCATGTGATAAAACGCCTGCAGTTCAGTTTCATGCATGCCAGAACCTCGCGTTAGCTCTTGCGCCTTCAATAACCAATCTTCCATGCTTCTCACCAAGACTGTCAAAAATCTGGCTGTGCCTGGAGGGGAAGAAAATACAAACCTTTAATTACGTTCTTTCAGCCAACAAAAACAAGGCTCAATTCAAAGACCTTTGCCAGGAGGGATGAACAGCCTACATGAGATCTGGCTATACTTAGCGCTAAGAACAAACTGTTTAGGAAGCACTGAATTAAAAGCAAGTTGGAAGAAAATCTGCTTGATGTGAAGCTGACTTTCTTTCTTGTCTTGACAGATTTGACTTGTTGCATAAAGAAATGTGATGGCTTAATAGGACTCTTACAAAACGCTCTGTAGTTCTCTTCAAAAGAGATACAACATACATAGATATTAAAAAATGCCCGGATAAAACAGTAAATCACATGTTCATTCACTCATCTGGCATATGCTGATGGATATTCTTTGATTCCTGGAAGTATGCTTGAAATTAAGGTTGCTCCTGATGTCCAGTGTTTAGTCTTTAAATCCTGCTAAGGTCCTGGTCTTTATGACATCTTGTTTCAAAGATAACATGTTACACATGTGGAGGTAATTACCATTTTTGAGACATTTTAATGACTCAGTTTCCCCACTGTACTGCTGTGGTATGTTAACTTCTACTCTGGATTATTTGTCATGCAATGAAGCAATGTTGAGATGTTCAGACTGGTAAGAAAGGAAAGAAGTTACCTCCAAAGGTTGGGTGGTACCAGAACATACTGTGAAAGCCCCACAACTAGACAAATTTGCTTTGGGAAGACTGCCTTTATCTTATAGCCAGGTCTACGGCAAAAGAGAAGAGCTAGCAGGATCTCAATGGAGAGGTCGCTCTGGTCCCAGTCACCAAGTTCAGAGTCAAAAACTTACAAAAAAAGGTATGACTTCGAGAAATGATCAAGGAAGAGCAAAGGTCTTAAGTGAAAATTTATAAATTTTAGTCTCATATGCCGTTGTTCTCTTTGCATCTTTATTCCTTGTCAACAAATACCGAACCTTTTGTATTTCTGTCACGTGGTGCTTGAGATCAGGTAACCTGAACTTAGCAGATAATAAATATTTCAGGTAAATGAGGATCATTGCCTTACAGAACAAAATTACAATAATTACCATGTTTTCAGTATTTTCTCTCATCTATTTCTTATAGCCACTTTCTTTTTCACCTTTTTTTTTTTTTTTTTAACTGTAGCTGCAATGTAAAGAGATGGAATACCCTGTCTCTTCTCACAGGCAGGAGAAGAGCAGAAATGAGTCCAAGCAATTCAAATACACTGCCTTCTATGGAGGAAGAGAATACCTTTACTGAGATCCAGTTCCCAAAACCTTTGTTAAAATAAGCTAAACCTCCTTTTTCTGGACTTTACTGATGGAAGCAATTCTGTATCAGATGTCAGCACTATGCCACCTAAACCTTTGTTCAGACCACTAATAAACACAAAGACTTCTGACAGCCTGCTGTTAACTTTTTGCCATGATATCTGGCCAATTACGTCCCTGCTTCTTTTTCCTTCTTTTACTTTTTAATGAGAACTGCTAGGAGTATTTACTTCTTTCAGCTGTCTTTTAGGTTGGACAGACTTACAGTATACTGTCTCTTTTAGCAGAAATATAAAACACAGCATAAAGCATAGGGTAACATTACGAAAGACTAAGATGACAGAATGAGAAGGAGCTCGGAAAACATGAGCAGCAGTTCTGGACACATATTCAGTTTAGTCTCCTAAAGAAAAGAAGATGATTAAAAAAAAACACCAGAGATGAAACAATTCTGAAATCAGAAACGAGTCAAGGCCTAGGAGAGGCAAATGTTGAAAAAGTTGGTTACAAATGTTTGGTACCTTAAGCAGAATGTGATAATTTTATATCAGCAAGAAAAATATTTATTTGCATAATTTATTATCAGTATAAATCAATATCTAAATTTAGATAACTCTGTCTTAATGATAAGGTAATAAAAAAAATATTGCCCTCTGAAACAGTATTATCAGGTTAATGAACTCTAAAGTGACATTTTGCTTTAAAACTTAAACATCTATTCTTTTATTGTACATTTGCTTTCTTTTCCACACATAATTCACGCAATCACAAACTACACATGCTCTGAACTTAACACAGCTTATGTCTTATTTGTACTGCAATTTTCTTTGATTATATTGCATTGCATTTCAGATTCCAGATATTCTTTGTGCGATCAAGAGCCAAGTTTCTCAGAGTTCATACCTCCCATTTTTTGGTTACTGAAATATACGTAGGGATCAGACATAGTCTTTGCAAAAAAAAAATCAGAGCAGATTATACTAACTGGTCCCTCATTACCTGCTACTTCCCTGGCATACCCTAAGAAAGACTGAACTGCAAAATTGGTTATTTCTTACCATTATTCCCACTTATCCTTATGTTATATTGCTGATAGAGTTCACGTGCACTTTGGTTTATTTCTTCCAGGGCAGCGAGCTGTGGAGGCAATGCTCCAGTTAAGTCCCGGTGTCGACTCAGCACCGTTTCTCCTAGCTCTGTCCAATGTCCCTGTATCCTGGCAGCACTCCTGAGACTTTCAGTCTTGGCTAGGTATGTCTCCCCTGCATACAGCTGCACATCTTCCTTCAGCATCTGAAAAAAAAAAAAAAAAGCAGCAGGCTTACCGTGTCCCCAAAAGTTGGACCACTCCTTGGCTGCAATGGAAAGGCGGTAGAAATCAGGTAAGAGAATAACAAGGAATTCATGAGCATGTCATAGTAAGTACAATAAGTTGGAAACTCACTCCACGAAGCTGACAACTGTGAGTGCTTCTACAGATTAATATAATCTATCAGTCACCAGAACTGGCAGTCAGTGCTCAAGTGTGGGTAAGCCTAATGGCTGAGCTGCAGTATTGGGCAGTTGCAACTTTTCATGTGTAGATTCTTGGTTGAAGCTTCAGAACAAAAGATGTCAGTTGATTTGTGATGGGCATAGATACTGACAGCAAGTGGTCATTTGCTGAGCATATACCATTTAGTAGTATGTCCAACCTCCAGAAATCTTACATTTATTAAGAGCTTCATATCTTCTAAGATCTCATCCAATAGCTCTTCTTTCATCTGAAAAGAACTAAGCAGAAAAAAAGAAGGCATGAGAGCTGAGAGAAAAAAAAATCCTGTAGTGGTTTATGCAAAACCAAGGTCAAGATACACTGCACGCATGCCAAGTTTGTGACACAAATTATAACTTGGAAAAAAAAAAAGGCCAAAAACACCAAGCCTTACTTAGCTGGTAAGGCTAAGTCGCTCAACATAATGCAAACACAACTGTAGTTAAGAAAATCAATTATTAACATACGAATGAAGTATGGAAAATAACATCTTTTGTTAGTGCAGACAGTGTGCATTTCTGGATTTTGCACTTGCATTTGTCCTTTACTTAATATATCATGATGGACTAACAAAAAGTCTGCAAAATATACATTAACATACAAAAAGACCTTGCATTTGGAACCTCATGTGCCTTACAGTCTCATTTTGTATCTTTACTGCTCTGTTGAAGCATCAATGCAAGTGTCATGAGTGTTAAAATGAACCAAACTAAACAGAAGAATTCTGTCATGGCAATCATATCTGTAAAAAGAGAACTCTGGCTCCTAGTAGAAGGGTAAAATACTTGCCCTAATGGAGTCAGCAGTAACCTCACCACTGAATTCAGCCACAAACATACAGCATCACTTTGGAGCTACCACTAAGGACCCAGTTATCAAAATAAACATGTCAATCATAAAAGCAGAGCAGTGAGGGATATGAAAAATGAAGACTGTAACAAATCTCACTACATCTGAGTCAGGAATTCTGTGCATGCTTTGACTTGTGCCATGGGGCAAAGGGGAAATGACTACTACTCCCAGTCCCTCAGGGCCACTCACAAGTTACTGTGTTGGTACTGAAGCCACTTGTTGAGGTTTCTGAGCACAATTTGCAGTTTTTCCTTGCTGGACTCCTCCAAATGCTCTGTCTCTGCTCCAACATGACCTAATATTCCTTTGAACTGCTCGGTCTCCTCCTGTAGATCAGCAAGGTCTCTCAGATCCTGCAGCCATTGAATGGCAAAAAAGAAGTTTTAACTGTTCTGATCTGAGTTGAAGGAATTCTCCCTTCAGCCTAGGTGTTTTGAGTTATATCTATATATCAGAGATCTGGGAAACAACCCCTTTCATGCAGGACTAAGTTGGCTCACACTTCCCAGGCATTCCAGAAGTGAGCACTTGACTGTCTGCTGCTTGTATGCTACAAGCATACAGAGACCATGCAACTATATACCTTCAAAGACAAAATTTCACTAACCTGGATCTGTTTGGTTTTATGGCGATGGAACAAGGAGAGGGAAGAATAACATGAAGAAGGAAAAAGAAAAGCTTGAGGTAGAGCAAAGAGGATATGGAATAATGAGAAAGGGAACTAGAAAGACGATGAGTGAATTCAAGTTTTAACACTTGTTCAAAACTAGATCAAGATTTAAAAGTTCTAGTAACAGCAGAAGTACTGAATGCTTTACTGAGTATCAGTGCTACATGCACCAGACACACAAACACTTCAAACAGGTACCCATGGCACACAAGTCCTACCTTTGAGGCCAGAAGGACTATGAAATGCTTGAGAACTTTGGTCAGAGCCTTCCCACTTATATGGAGCCTGCGAATCAATGTGAGCTGGTTTCTTTCTATTATCTGAAAGAAACGTTATTTTCACTGTTGTCTTTTGAGAGAAGGGACATCTGATAGTAACGTGAAGCTCTACCATCAATGAAATAGAGTGCAAGCAGACGAAGCCACTTACCTCAGAAATAAACTTCTTATCCACAAGGCAAACCAAGAAGGTAGGTCTGCTAATAAATTTGAAACTTTATCGAGGAAAAAGTAAAAGATCACAAACAAGAAAAACACACAAGCTAGGAAGCAGAGTTATCCAAGAATGCTATTTTGTGAAGCTTAAAGAATCTGGCTACAATATTCCAAGTTATGGGGAAGAAGGAAACTTTTCAGTCAAACTCATCTCCAACTGGAAATATTCATTTCGTAGTTCTTCCTGCACAGAAACTGGAGGCCTGTACTAAAAATGCTGTGTGAATCAGCTGGAACAAACCAAACAAAACATGAAATACAACAGTCCTCAGTAAATGAGGGCAAGAGATGCGTTAGCACCCAATTAGATTAAACACAAACATTCTTTGGGATGAAATTTGCTTTTGGAAAAGTCTGCCTGCTGTGATGGTCTATACCTTGCAGTGTATCACTGACCTCCCATACTTACCATCAGAGCAAGGTTACATGCAGCTGAGCTCCAGATGTCTCTCTCTTGAGATACCACCAGAACCTGGTCTTCCAGCCTTCTCCTCTGTAACTCGTATAACTCTCGATACTGTTCCAAAAGGCTAGAAGGAAAAGACAATGAAGTTTGTCCATGCTTCTTATTCACATTTATTGCGTTCCTCCCAATTCCCAAGACATTTCATCTCCCTCTTTCCTTCCTTGATCACCTTCCACATAAGTGCGTGAATTCACGGTTCCTTTACCCTGAGCTGCTACAACACCATTGTGTTGATATCCTCACACCGAGTTTCCAGCCAGTATTCTTACAAATCTCTGTTGGATCTAGGCTATCTGCTTTCTTCATGACACAAGATTCCTGTAAGTGAATCCCAAACGCCCAACACAAATCTGATACCAACCACCTCAATACTTAGGTTTTTTTTTTAGGTATCTGAAGATGCCTACAGCCCCATACAAGTTCCAAGCCGCAGGCTCTACTTGTCTATGAGCTTACCAGCTATGACTGTAGGGTGAAGAGGATGGCAGCACCTGAGCAACAAATGCAACTTCTATGATTTAAAACTAGAAGAATTTTAAACAGCTTCTTGTCCCTTTGAGGAGTTCAGGACTTATAGAAAAATGACAGTATTTGTCACAAAGAGCCAAGCTCTCTTCCTCAGAAGGAAATCTCTGTCCTTCTTCCCAAGCCAGGAGAATGATCCCAGCACGCTGCAGAGATCTCCCAGCCTTAGCTTTGAAAGGAACTTACTTTGCATTTGCCTCTGCCTCTTGCATGGCTGCAGCTAGCTCCTTTTGAGCTTTTTCTGCTTCTTTGGTCACCTTGCAGTCATGTTCTCGTACCTCATATAGTTCGCTGAAACAGCAAGGAACAGCCTAAATAAACTTAGCCCAGCCCAGTCTCTGCTCTGCTAAACACAGACTGCTCTCACCATACACAGACAGCTCTCTATAGAGTTGAAAAGCATTTTGAAGACCTCCTATTCCTGCACACGCAGATTGCTCCCGCAATCCCCTTCAGTGCAAAGTGTAAAGGAAAGCAGGTGTTTTAACCCTTATTCTGTGCTTCCATGCTGCACAGCTGACAGTAAAAACAGACCAATGGTGTGAGGAGGCTAAAGCGCAGTCCCTGTAGCTCTGGCTCAAATAAGAAAAATAATTGCCTGCTCCTATGGGAGGAAGATTTGAAAACTGAACAAAACCAGTATGCTAAGCTTAGTGCATTGAGATAATTTTTTAGGATGAGGAAGGATTCAGACCTGGCCAGCTGCGCAACACACTCCTTAAAATAGAGTAGTTCTTCTGTAATATGTCTGTCAACCAGTTGCTGAGCCATCATTTTTTTGTACAGTGCCTTCATCTGCTGAGGAATACGCTCCAGGAGATCCACATACCTCTGTCTTCAGTAAAAATAATAAAAATAGAAATTTAAAAATAGAAATTGTCCTGAAAGTGAAGATCTGAAAACCATTCCTTTCACTGCACAACAGCATATCTAGAGGGCAATCTTCTGACTGTATGGACTTGGGATTTAAAAAACCCTGGAACAATGTAATTGCTACAAATACTGGTAATCTGTGTGCGAGGTGGAAAAAGAGCAGAGGAACCCCAGCTGTGAGAGTAGTTCCAGCTATTCCACATGTGAAAAGTTCCATTAAATGTCACACCCATAAGGTGGCTGCATTGTCAAGTGTTGTGTCAAGGGTTCAAACTCCTGGTTATGTAACGGTGGTCCATTAGTACTGGTTGTTAACTAGGCAGGGCAATCCTATTTCACTTCTGGCATCAGACCCCGTGCCAATGACATTGTGACAGGCTAGCTTTGTTGGGCAGTGACATTAAGAAAGATCTGCAATCTGCAAAGATCTAGCTAATGCTGCTCCTGAGAGGATACTGCCACAAATCAAGAGGGGGATTAAGGGTGCTTGCCAAATGATGACCTGAGTTTAGAAAGCAGCTGTCCTCTCTCCTTGCAGTCCACGCTGACCTGCCGAATCATCTCATGGAAAACTACATTGTAGATGTTCTGCTCTGCCTTCATCAGCTCCAGCATGTTGTGCAGCTGGCAAAACAGAAGAGACAAACACCAGCCTTTCAGAGACTGGCAAATCTCCATCATCAACTGAGACTGGCACAGCACACTAAATTCTTCTGAACCTAATTTCCCTCTTGAAGAGGTAATGGGGAAGGGGAAGAGAAAGAGCCAACCTGCACACATTCACAGGTTCTTTTTCAAATTTGTTTTGGCTCTGTCCTCCCATTAACATCTGTGGGAGCTTTTCTGCTAACTCCAGCAGGAGTTCATATTGAAGCAGTGCTATACATTTTTCAAAAATCCTACTTTGTCCATTTAAACCTTCCCCGTTACTGTGCAAGAATAATAAAAAGTAAGCCCAAGCAAAGTATAGAGATTTTTTGGCAAATGAAAGCTTCCAAAGATCCATTTTCAAACACAGCAGCCTGTCTGCTAATGAGGAGATGAGATAGCCACTGCTTTATTTCCTCCATAGTAATGCCAGATGATTCCTTTCTGGCATTTTTGCAGCTGCTTGTTCTTCAAGGATCAGACAAAGACAACCAGAAGCTCAAGAGAGCGATCTCTCACCTATGACAGCACCTACAGACAGATGGCCTGGGCAAAAAGTAACTGCTTGGAGGCATCTTAAGCACAACTGAGACAAACACTAGGGAAAATGATATTCTTTTTCTGGGTATGAGTGAGTTATCCACCTGTGAAGGTCCTGTTACTCCAATCAGCTCATCTACTCCAGCTTTTTCCAACATGCTGTCCATTGCCTCCATCAGCTGTATGACCTCTAACCTCCCAGAAGGTTTCCTGACAGACCAGAAAGAGACACATCATTATTCTACACAGTATACCATGGTATTTTCCCACAAAATGGAATTCAAACTGTGGCGTGTTGTTTTGGTTTGGCTTTTTTTCCCCAGTAAAAACTTGATTCAGGGTACGTACATGGATGGGAACAGACGTAGTCTCTTTTCACTGTCTTCAAGCAGAGTTGTGTATTTACTAAAAAAAAAAAAAAAAAAAAAAGGAAAAAAAAAAAAGATAAAAGCTGAATTATAAAACAGCCCTTCCAGTGCTAAGGAATCCTGCACTTTAATTCAATCTCTATGTCCCACATACAGTAAGATAGGGAAAGAAGTGTGAGGTTGTTCTCAGTGGAAGCATCCAGAGCCTGAAGTCTGACCTCCTGCAGCTGTTCATGCAGCTGATACACCAACAGAAGCTCCTCCTTGCCACCAAAATCTTGTAGGAACACTGGAGGTACCCAGCAGCACTTTGGAGTAAAGCTTTGTAAATGAAATTCTAAACTTACAGCCTGAAAAACTGAAGATCCCAAGCAAACAAACAAACCCACACCAGAATGGTCAGCTCCAAGAGTTAGCAGGCCTGTATAGCTCCAGTGAGAATAAAAACTACCCTGGATCTGCCCAGTGCTGCTACAGAAGGCAATTCTAGAGGATAAGTAGAAAAACAAGACTAATCAAAACCACAAAAAAACAAGCAAACAAAAAAAAAAACAAGTGGCAACTTCTAAAAGTTTCCTCAAGAGATCAAAAGAGACTTCAGCTTCTACATTCATGTTCAAATAGGGAAACATTTAGTAGTAATAGCCTACAGAAAATCCTCCTTTACCCTTCCTCAAGCAGTAGAGGCAAAGCAAAGGTGGCTCACATTGCTCTGGCGGGCTGAATGCAGCCTTACCATTAGTGTGGGATTTGTAAAGCCACCTTTTCTTTTCTTTTTTTATACACTCTCCTCAATTGAAAGAAGTTCATTTTTCCAGCGTTCTCAGCCTATTAGCATTTTACCCCTCCATTCTGAACAGCAGAAGCTCTACAACTTGAAGGCAAATCCTGGTCAATCAGAAAGCACTTACTCATCAAAGTACTTCAAGGGCAGAACTCCCTGCTTTCTCACAATGTGAAATTCCTCGGGAACCAGACTATCTGCTAGGGTTGCTTGCTAGGGATAGAAAAGAGAAAGCATTAAACATCAGCATAGAAGATAGCATGCAAATTCCCAGTTCCTTGCCAGAGATGGTGCAGTTTTGGCCACGCAAAAGAGAGCAAAGCTCACAGAGTGACTTTTCATGGTGCTTTTCTCTTTCCCGCTCTACGTAATTAGAGCACAACAGAAACAATCCACATTTGGAAAAAGATTAAAATAATTAATGCTGAACTGTGGCAGGGAGCTGGGAGGCTGTGAACTGAAGGGAGAACTGATGGCTTTTAGGATCAGGGTAAGACACTAAAATCATTTTGGCTCAGAAACCAAACAAAGCCACAACCCATGGCAACACTGGGGGTGTACATGAAGAATTCCCTTCTCCCACTTAATGATGTGCACAGAAACATAAATGAGGAGCAGCACTCACAGGAGTACTTGAGACTGTACCACTGCTTTGTTCCTGAGGACTCTGAGAAAAAGAGCTTTTGAGGGCCACTGTTTTCTTATCTTCTGGGATCATCACATCACACAAATAAGAGACATCCCTGAAACAAAGGGAAAGAGCTGTACACTGACCCAGAACACAGGCAACCTACCTTTCTCTTGCTACTGGCCTCTTCCAGGCCAAAAAAGACTGATAAGATAATGCTTGTTTGGCAGATTAATTTTTGGCCTATCACTGGCCAAAAAACTGCTTTTCATGCCTGTTGTCAATGCCTTGTCACGTACATAGCTGCAAACTGTAGAGGAGCAAGGCATTTTTCAATTCCTAGTGCTATTTAAGCAACGCTTATTTGCAAAGAAGTGTAAAGCTATTCCCTGATAAATCCATTAAAGCCAGAAAAGCTTCTTTTCCTAATCCTGGATCAGAGTATGCCAGTGAGCCTGGGATCCGTTGGAAGAATGCTTCCAAAGAGAGATCACGTAGCAGCAACTCTTTATTTATTATTCCTGAAACATTGTTCCCTTGAATTTCACCCAAATAAGCTCAGTTGGGATAACTGGTCCATTCGTCCAGTCTCGTTAGGCAGCGCAGACACTCACCACTAGAAAAACCAATGGAAAGACCTATCTGCATTTGTAGTGCTAACGTCTTCCCATCACAGTCAACTCCTTATCCCTTCTTTACTTACCTTCCAGCACCTGTCAAGCTGACAGGGTGGTCTGTCAAGTGTCTGAACTTGCTCCGACGATTAGGATAATGCCAAAGCCGATCGGGGGTTCGCAAGCAGCCCTGCAGACAAAGCACACGTGGCTGTCACTTCTTAGCCAGAAATGTGCCAAGGAGTGGGAGAGGTCAAAACGACTGTCTAAACAAGCTCCACGTAATTATTTCTGTCTTAGGGCTAAAGAAACCAGCATGCACAAAACAGTTGCTACAAGGGGTTCACAGCAACACATAGGTACAAGCACGTTTAGCATTTTACAGGCATTGTAAGACTATGCTTTGGATCCACATCAAATGACACGATCAGAAAAGTAACGTTACACAAGATCAGTTTGTCCAAGAAGGTTGGCACCCTTCTCTTTCACCAACAGAACGAAAACATGTCCCTAAGAAAGAGTCAATTCTGGATAATAAAAAGCCAAAGATGGAAACGCTTACCCTGAAGCTCACTATGTTTTTTGTTTTTTGGTGGGACTGTAAGTAGTCTGGGCTGCCAAGAGAACTGCTAGCACAGGTCAGGGCTCGGAAAATCTCTTCTGGAACGAAACTGTACTCTGGGGAGGAAGAAACAGGCCTGACGTGGTCCAGCATCCTCGATGTACCCCTTAACAAAGGGATCTCTGGAAAGCAATGTGTCAGAACTCACTTATTCTACTGATAAAATAGAGGGCTGAGAAGAACTGTGAGAAGTTGCCCACTCCTTTACCCCAAAGCAGGAACAACTCTCAAACACAGGCAGCTAATCCCATTTCTAGCAGCTGCTGAATCTTTGGTGAAGCCTATAACAAGTTACCTTCAAACTGTGAGGGACAGCGGCACTAAATACACAACCGTGCCAAGCTGTCAGGTATGCAAACACCAAGGGATACTGCAAGCAACTGAAGTTATTTACGTAAATCCATTACCCTTCTTAAGGATTTCTACCAGTTGACTTTCTGCAAAAACATTGACACCCTGCAATACTAGCAATTACCTAAACAAAGGCAAAGCTTAGAACTCCCCCAGACAAGCATCCTGTTGTGAAAAGGAACCCAAAGGATACCATCCTCTGCCCCATCTCCAACTCCAGCCCTACCTGAATGGTCCTTGCTGACAGATTCCATGCACAAGGAATTGCTCATTTTTCTTCCAACTGCCTTCAGTCCAGGAACTGGCATTCCGTTGGTGGGCATGGTGAAGAGATGCTTGGATTTTTTTTTATTCTTACCCAAGGAAGTTTTCAGTAATGAGCAATCTAGAAACAGAGTCAAACCCACCTTTGTACTTCACAGGGTTAATATTTTTTTGTGTTATTAATTAACAGGGGAAAAAAGAAAAAACATCTGACACTAGGTAGCTCAGCTGGGAAGAAGCACCTGATGCTTTATTTCCAGGGAGGAATACCCAACAAGAAGCTCTTACTGGCTCTACAGAGGGCAAAGCCTGAAGGACTACCCTACTCATTATCTACTTAGACCCATAAAAATGCATTTCATAACCAACATGGCATCAACTTGATTCACAGATGTAGAAAAGTCAAAGGTGTTTAAGTCAAATACAACTTCTGCAATTTATTAACATTTAGCATCACAAAATGATAGCTCAGTGCACTTAACGAAACCATCACAAGAGTTCTGTTCTCCAAATGCTACGTGCACAAGAGCGCTTGATTTTATCATTTGCAAATGGGGTTAACTGCTACTTTTACACATCTAACGACTGAACCAGAGACTTAATTGTAATTGAATTTCTCCATTAACATTACTGCTTTTCCTTTTTGCTTGCCAATGAAAAAAAATCTTGCCCCCAGGGACCCTCACGTGAAGCCTACCCTTGCCAATGCACATTGTTCTTCATAAATACTCTCTGACCTCCTTATCAGCTATATCCTTTTGTACTGAGGTTTCCAGATAGGTTAACAGCATTTCATTGACTGCACAGAAATACGTTCGTGCACATAGGTGTAACCAAAGAAAAACAGGGTAAAACTTCTGATAGGTGAATACATTGCAGTGGTTTCCTCCCACTCTCCACTCCTCTTTAAAACCAGTGCTTGGCAGTACACTCTATTCTCACCACAAAGGATGGGAAGATTGATTAATGGTGCTGCTCTGTCGCTGCTACAGCTTAAGGACATAGAAAAGACTTGACTTCAAGCATGTGGTGCACAGCTGGAAAATAGCACATTTAGTTCCTGGCACACAAACCCTTTTCAGGCCCAAAGCAAAGGCAGAAATCACCAACACGATGTACATTTTGGCACTTGTTCTGATTTAATACAGGTTAAGTTGGGAGAGGCTAGAAACTCTAGTCTGTTCCAAGAGCTACAGGCCCTTTTTCCCTGTGCTCCTTTGCACCTCTTCCTCAGCTCCAAGAACATTCCCTCCTCCAGCAGAAGGGCTGGACTGGACAGAGGCTGTGCAAGTGACTGCCTGGAGCTGGGCACATTGTTTCTAGCCACCCCACAGCCGTCATCACGCAGCCCCTGCTGCACACCAGCAGCTCCCAAACCTCCCAAGTATTCCAGCTCCCACGCTGCACAGGGAGCAGCAGAGCCCTCCCTACCTGCCAGCTATTAGCAGCCAGGCAGCTCCTCACTGACTCTGTCACTATGGAAACAGAGCATTGCCGTCCCTGCATTCTGGAAGCAGCCTCTCACAGCAGTTCCCCTCCCAGAGGAACAACCTCACAGTGACCCTGCCCCAAGCCCAGTCCTACTCCCCTTCCCCTTCTTCTTCTGCCACCCTCATCCCAAACTAATCCAGAGCCTTGGGAAAGAAACAGGCCGAGACAGTTTTGGGTTTTTTTTCTCCTCTAATAGGAAAATATATTTCAACTGCTGTAATACAGTAGATTATAAACGGCTCCTCTGCATGACAGAACACAGTACAGGTTGCATATACGTGGGACACTGCTGGTACCAGGGGCCAGCAGGTGACTGCTGCGCAGTCCTCTTCTTGCACGCCTCTTCCCTGCCACACCGCTGCTGGATGAAGAGACAGCAATGGCTTCTTCACCCTGGAAGGGGGAGCTGGCCTGGCTGCAAGCACCAGAAAGGACAAGGGTGAGCTCAGCTGGGTCAGAGGCACAGCACAGAGCTGCTTCACAAACCCGACACTGTAGAGCATGTGGGCCTGCTCCTGGCTCACACACAGGACTGCCATCCTTCCAGCCCAACTACATTCAAAAGGTGGGAGTTCAAACAGCTCAGCTGTCCATTGGCAGGTGGACTGATTCACGTCAGTACCATTTTATATTTAAAAACACATTAGGATCTCCCCCCTCCCACCACAGCATGTACCACATGCCTTATTTGGGTGGCAGTCACAGGATAACATACAGTTAACAGCTCAAATGCAAGGCTGCTTCACTTTGGAAGGCAGAAAGCAAAAACATCCTAACAGAAAGGACGTACAAGGCGTGAAGACTGCACAGATTCAGTTTTCCTGAGAACTAACCATTATCTGCATGATAATGGGATAGATTTTGGATATATTTCACAACATTAACACTGATTTTTGTGATGTTGAACAATGAGCTGCAGCTGTTCTGGCTGCCATTCCAAAGCTGGACTCTTCCCACCTTAAAACTTTAAAAGAGTTACTATGGAAGCAAGCTTTATAATTCTTGTGTTGGAAAGAATCACAGAAAACAGCATATACCATTAGAAACTTGAAAAGGGCAGGTTATAAACCTTAACATTCACTTACTTGACCAGAATACCACACCGCTAGCTCTGGTACTCATGGTCTAAGCAAGCTCTTTCCAAGCAAACAAACATACTATAACAGACTAATTAAACAAAGGACTCAGTATTCTCCCCTCCAGAAAAACGAATGTAAGCCTGTATTCAAAGCAATTTAAAAAACCCTATGAAATTGAAAATAATTCCCTGACAGCACAGTTGTGAGATGCCTTGATCTACAAGGCTGAAAACCTTAACCTGTCAAAAATCTTCAGACCCCTGCCAACAGCTGAGCACCCCATCCTGGTTGCCTTTTGCTTGCCAGACGCTCGAACCACCAATGTTTCCAACACCAAAGATGCTGACCCAGAAAATGCTGATGTTGTTCATTAGGGATATGACACAGTGCCAGCTGCAAGGGCAACACTACAACTTGGCACAAAGTGCCAGGACTTTATTTCTTTTCAGAACACTGAGATAGTAGCAAGACCTGACACAGGCATCAAGAAGAAAAGAATGAGTTCCAAAACCATCACACCCTGTTTGAGTACAATCATATCTGTATATAAGTGTTTCAAGCACCAGCTCTAAAGTACTAAACTGAATTTTACCCTGTGTTAAGCAAGTGATAGAGCTGTTTGGCCAAAGGGTTTACTTGCTTTTGTTCATGCTTTCCTTGTGTTTTAAAGAAGAAAGCTGGATTTGAGAATGACTGTTCAGTTCTTCCAGCACTTCTATCCCTTCCTCTAAGCAGAAAGGGAAAGAAAGACTTAGGATTATTCAGACTGAACAAGATAAGAGTAATGTATTTCATTCCTGGGATTTTGTATACTAATACTGCCAGGTTTGGTTACACACACTCCTTCCTCTGAAGCCAACCCAACTGTTTCAGACAAGTTCTGGTAGGAGATGTTTTTAGATGAGAACAACACACGCAAGTCTGCAATTTGGCAAATTTGACTTGACAGCATCCCTTCTGAAGCACAGCATTTCCTCTTACAGGCATTTCAAAAGTTGGAAGAGTAAGTAGTGCCTAGCTCTCATGAATTTACTTTCATGACTCAGGTTAATAAAAAGAGAAGCCCAAAAGACGTTTAAGTGGGAGACAGGTCCACGAGTCCATTACTGCTGGTATCTAATACCTGGGCTGTATGTTAGTAAGGAAAAGCTGTTGCTGAGAAGTGGCAATTAAGAACATTTGAGTAATTAACAGAATCCCCATGACCAAAGTCAAGGTGACAACAGTTAGAGAAACTAGCAGGTTACCTTCCTTCTCCAATAATGGAAGCTACGATTTCAGGAAAACTGAACAGATATGCACCCAAACCCGACCTAAGTTCCTTTCTGTGCTTAACATCTGACAGTGCAAGGAAGCTGAAGGGGCTCTGCCTAATTCAGACAGAATAGCTGCTGTTATAAATACATACTGAAAGACCAAATTCACTGCGCTTCTTTTAGCAGTGTCTATGGGAAGATGTCCTCCCTCTTCAGAAGTAGGAGAGCAATATGTAGAAAACTTATTTTCAGCTGAAAAAAATCTCACTGACGAGGGCAGACACAGGCAGATGCAAAAGCAGCTCTGACTCCAACTGCTGGGTCAACCCTAATTCCCCACTGACAGTGATAGAGACTGCTACAGTACATGTTGGCAAGGGGCACCATGACATGCTGGTAAAGAACCCAACACAGACATCTCAAATGAGAATGCACTATGTACCTGTAAAGTCAATCACATTTCCTTACAGTTCAGTCATAGTATTTCAAATCTTTCTCACTACAGAAAGCCTTAATTTGTATACCTTAAAGCATCTGCCAAATTAAAAGAAAAAGCTCTTTTAAGTAAATTGTGTTAAAAAAAAAATCTGATTATCTGTGAGCAACGGAAAGGAAGAGCTACAAGAAATCTATTCCTCAAGTCACAAGGGCTTTCAGAAGACAAAAAAGCTGTAAAGTCAGTTACGAACTTAACAGACATAGAGAAAACCTAGGTTTTCCATTTAAAAAAGACAAACTGCACATACTGTGCCCTGCTTCTGAAGATAGAAAGAGCTGATTCTCCAACACAGCCACACAAAAAAATACCCTCTTCCTCTGCCCATTTGAAATCCCTAGGCAGCCATTGTACATAGAATGCAGTTCAAAGCCATCCAGGAATGCTTTGGCTATTTTCACAGCAAGGAGGCATATAACTTGTTGCTCCGTCACTTGTCCGTGGCATAGCAACGGACAAGATCACAAAGAATAGAAGTTCTGTAGACATCCCATTACCAAAAAGGAGACAAAAATTGCAAAGGGGTGACCGAGGAAGATGGACGGAAGCCAACCATGAGCTACTAGCAAATCTGACTGGACGACTGCCCAGAAGAGCAGCCACTTGGGGGACCCCAGGACGAGTAGGATTCCAGTAGACTGCACCTTCAGCATAATGTTTCACTGGCATGGAAATGGCTCAAAGGGGGGCAGCACATGACAGATGCTGCCTATGAAGCCTGGTGCAATCCAGTTCAACTGGGTTGCTTCAGTACTGTTTTTAAAAGATACAGTTTCTCCCAAATAATCAGGAGGCAAAAATTCCCTTAGAAAAAGTCCGCAGTGAATTAGTCAATGGTCCAAGTACGTGAAGGAAACTGTTCTTCTGTGATGGCGTGGCCAGAGCATACAAGTTCTTACATCTGCATGTGACACGACCACGAGCGAGGCTTTAAGTAGTCCAGGAACACAGGCTGCAAAACACAGAGAGGCAGCATGTTAGTCACAGGCAAACAGCACCAGCTGTGGTGTGGTCTGCTGAAGTCAAATTTCCCCAACAAGAAAGGTCAAACCACATTTCCACACCTCAGACTCTATTCTTATCTCTGAAAGGCACAGGTTTAGCTGCAGACATGACAAGCTCCTTGCCCACCTCCCACCCTACACAGTATTTATCCACAGTTCTGATGCATCTGCTATAGTAGCATATTGTCTCATGGAGTCCACAATTTATGATAGTAAACACTTAAATGAGACTCAAACTTAAAATTGAGTTTGTCTGAGCATACCTTTGATTAAAATTGAAATCAACTAGCAGAGCAAAATGTTTTATGTGGAAGATGACTCTAATGCCATGAAAGTGTCAGAGTAAGTAAAGGTAAAAAAAAAAAAAAACAACAAACTACAGAAACATCTGGTAAGAGCTAAGCAATTTTTATTGTCACCCACTCTAGCCGAGGAGGAGCACAACAGGCTCAGTTTCTGCAGACCTCCTAGAAAGATTTCCCATGACCTCAGTGGCCAAGTGCTATAGTTACACTCACATGGCATGAGTGGTCTAGTTTATATGCAAGTAGTAGCTTATGTTTTCTCAGATGTGAGAAAAATGGTCACAGTTTCAAGAAGTGAAATACTGTCTGCATAGAAAATATTAATGAAAGTGCTACCGTGACAAAAAGCTTTGAGATTTCCGTAGTTTCTGAATAGCTCCTAATGAACGAATACAGCACACTGTCAGAAAGGCTCGCGTCACTTAATCCCTGTCCCATCCCCATGGCAAGAAAGGACAAGCCACTGGCCTGGTCAGTTATCCCCTAGGGAGGGTCAGTCACTCACATTTTGTGCAGGGCAGTACTGGCGGGCGTACCACTCCTGGCTGTAGAGGCAGATGATGACACCTTGGCCCAGGAAGAGGGATGTCCACATGATCACGTTCCAGATGGGCCCCTTCCGGCGGTCATTAAGGATGAAGTTAAAGAGCACTGCAAAGAGGAAATGAGAAGCATCGTTCAGAAACCAGCTGATTTTTGCTGGATATTCCCCCTCCCCACTGCTTCACCTCCAGAACAAGGCTCTTCCCCAAGGTCAGTGCAGCACACAAATATCTGATTACGCCTGGCAGGACAGCAAATACTATCAATTGACCTGAACTTCCAGAAGAGCTCTCCAAGCTGGTGCAGCTATATGCCTCTTTGCTTGGGTGTCAACACTGTTTGTGTTACACAGATGACCAAATCATGCTGGCAGAGGCGACCTAGAGATTTAGAGCCCTCTCACTTACACCCCAAAATGAAATGCAAGAGCCTTAACTTGTAAACGCACTCTCTTCCTTGCTGCAGTAGCAAAGTAATGCTAATAAAAACAAGCATTACTTGTCATTTCCAACTTGCTGACAAGCAGCAATTCAACTAAGGCTTGGCAAAAAGGAAGCAGTGCTACTAAATACATAGAGCCCCACGAACATCAGGGTATCAAACGTAGCTCTCTTTCTCCCCATTCACGTCTTCACTTCTCTAAGCCATTCACTAGGTTTGGACCCACAACTGCAAACTCTTGGAAATGAGATGATTCTGTACAATAATGATGCCACAACACACTCACATACTCTACTGGGAACTTACTTCCAAAGCACATGAACAGGCAAAAGAGAACTGGGTAGAAGAAGCCAAAGCAGATGCTCAGAACATACTCGTGCACAGCAGCTGATACTGTGAAGACAGACAGCATAGCTGCAGCTTTGAACTTCTTGCCAAAAAACTGGAAGACAGAAGAATACAAAGTATTATTCACCTACTCTGCTGTGGCTTTAGTTTGGTTCTTGCAAGTTGTTTTCTTTTGTTTTGTTAAAAAAATCCTGCAGGCACAGTAACAGATGCTGTAAAAACTACAGTTGCTGCCCAAAGCCAGCAGAGGAAAACCAGTCATTGGCTTCTCAATATAGCAGTAGTGATGTTGCATGTTCAAAAAAAGCACCATCTTGAGCAAGATTTAATTAGAAATACAAGGAATATATGAGTTAGTTGCTCACCCAGAGGAAGTCCCTATAGGCATAGTAATAGAGCCAGTCGTGCACTACCACATTCCAAGTTCGGTAGTAGTTTGCATAGGATGTGGAGTTCCACCAGTCCTGGAAGCAAAGTTGAAAGAATATAAAAATCTAATTAAGTATCAAGCATCCTACAGGTCTCTTCTGCATTATCAAGTTTAAACACATCAGTCAGAACAATACGAAGCCAATATAACAATTTACACCATGAAATAAAACACGCTGTTGTACTTTCAGTGATTTTGAAATGCATATCAAGATTTCCTTTTGTCTAAAACCACAGTGGCTCAGATGATAAAAGAACAGAGTCCTGACTCAGCTCTTCAGTAGGCCTGGTGCACAGATCCATTCATGCACAGGGTTACTACTGCACAAACAATTCAGACTACCAAATAAAAACAAGAACACAACCGTTTCAGAACACAACCACCAATTTAAGGCATAAGATAAGCAAAACCCCGTGGACTTTTTTTAAAGTAAAAAGCAAAAGGAAAACACCACCACCACCCCCTCTAGTTTCTGCTTTCCTTTCTGTTACGAAAGGTAATGTTTTAGAAGTTTTATAGAGCTTGCTTTATGAACTCCTGCTTCTTACCTTGTAGAACATCCTATCTGCAAAGCGCATCATCTCAGCAAATGCATTAAGCCAACAGTGAAGGAAGGCAAAGAAGACCAGGAAAAGAATCAGTACACCTAGAAGCAAAGCAGAGTCAAATTGATTTTCTTGTATACTCAGCAGTAAGGGGGAACACGTAACACAGTCAAGATTATTTTTTTTGTTAGGAAGGGCTTTCCAATACACTGACAGATACAAGCTTTATGCTACCTACACAAAAACAGTAAAGCCATTTCAGTTTCTTATTGCATAGGGTCACACTTATCTCAGATGGCAACAGTAAGGTGGCAACAGGACCTACAATTTGAAGACTTAAGTTCAAACTTGCCTGTCACGAATGCTTGATGCAAGAGTTATTTTCCCTTCCTTCTGCCTCTTCTACAAAGACAGATACTCACAGACCCAGGTCTTACCAGGCAGAATTGAGTTGAAGATGCACAAGACCAGCCCTCGAAGATTAAATGTTTCTTGACTACTGTTGCGAAACTGAGGAATGCAGAGCCTCACAAAGATGTAGTAGGCATAAAAAAGCGAACCAAGCACCTGGAACAAAAATAGTAGCCTGACTTTGTAAGCGAAATGCACAGTTAACACATTGCTACTTGATAGCTCTGAAAGAAGATCAGCAGCTGCCAACACAAATCAATTATTTTATTTCACTTTGCTACTAATAATCTGCCATAATGCTCCAGGCAGAGAGTAAACAGCAGCCATCTCTCCAGCATGTTGACTGCCAGGAAGAAAGTCATATTTTCTACTACAGAAGCTCTAAGTTTCTCCTAGTTCTGTCAGCTCAGAAATTATGAGACAGACTTACAGCAACATGAAACTAAGCAGGGAACAGTGCCTTGTGATCCAGGTCCAAGACAAGTACAGAATTAATTGAAGAATTATATAATTGTAATTATATCTAGTATTAAGACTTAATTTCCCTAATCCCAAAGAAGATAGTAACAGGCCAAACCACCTAATACCTTCTCTGGCTTACAAACCCATGCTCTGAAAGTTGAAGACAAAAATGCAAGCCACTGCTTTAGGTACTGATGGAAGCCAAATACTCATGTGAGCAGCCAGAGGCCTTTCTGTTACTTTTTATTTTTAAAACAAGACCATAAAAGTTTCAATCACACGAAGCCACTGTTTGAAAACAAATCCACAAGAAGCTACTGAAGTTTATGTTCCAAATAGGTTCTCCCTCAATACTGAAGTAAAGATCAGGTCAGACTTAGGCTCAGTTAAGCACTGAACTCCAGGCCTCTTATTTCAACACTGGCCTGAGTATCTGCAGACAGGTTGCCGTGCCAGTGCACTACAGCAAAACTGAGTAAAGAAAGAGGGCCAGAGCACAGTGCTCCCCATACAGGCATGAAACTTTAGTTTTTATGGAATGGAGTATGCTTGCTCAAAAAAAAGAAAACACCATTCTGAAGGTTTAACAAGCATTTTCACGTATTTTGACAGAATCCTTAGTTCAGCAAGGTTGCTTTTTAATTTCTTCTTAAATCATTAAAAAGTGTTCTTTTCCAGTAAGCTCACACCATGCTGACAGCAACTAGTGCTAAAGGGAAAGCTGTTTAGCAACACAGTTTCGATGACCTCTGACATATCTGTTCTTCAGAAAGCTGTATTACTCACCTGTGCAAACTTGGTAGCTACGTAGCCCCATCTTACTGTAGGATTCCTAAGATAAAGAATGCAGAATGTCACATCTAAATAGAATCTTAGTGCAGCAAAATCCTCCTTTTGTTACTGATTCTACTTTGGCAAAAACTAGTTTTAGAATTCAAAGTCCTTGACCTCTTGAATTTTAAAAAGGGGTGCCTAGACCAGATTGCTGGTTCCTCACAACTATGTAGGACAGCTGTGACAATTACATAAAGGAAAAAGTACCTCTGAGGCAGCATTATGCAATTACACAGGAGGTGGTGATCCACCCGATAGTCATGTAAAGTACTGCTGACTCGACACTATAGAAGTACAACAACAAGTACATGAAAGTTCATGAGTTCTCAGTTTTATAAGGCTTCATTCTACCGCCTCAAACTCAATAGGCAAGACCATCAATTAGCAATGCATGAAGCAATGCACATGTCCACTGCTGGGACTGGTGCCATTAGATATTCAGTGGCAATTTGGTTCAGTTCATGCACACAACAGGAATTGTAATGTCAAAAGCACTATTAGTAGTGGAGTGAGTTTTCATAACCAAGACTTGTCCGTGTCGGGTTTCTGACTTTACCATGACTTTATGAAAGCTCTAATTAACTAATTTAATAGGACACAATGTGGGGTCCTTAGTACTGGCTTCAGTTCTTTAATGTTCTACTGATATTGCTCATGTTACCTGGGATAGTTGTCTCTGTAGATGAGGGTGGGAGCAAAGAGGAAGTACAAGTATTGAGAAATGCGAGGAATAGGTACTGAGCCTGGAAGAAAAGGAAAAGAAAAAATAACTCTTCAATCTTTTTGCTTACTGAAGTTTTCTTTTACCTAGTACTCTTTCCCAACATACAGCACTCAGTGTATCAAAAAAGATCAGGCTGGAACTAAAGGTAGGGGATTCCCAAGGAATAAAGCAAACTATCAGATGGAAATACCTTTGTCAAGACCACTTAACAAGTCAGGATGACTAACAGTGCAGTGATGACACACTGATATCACATCTCCTTTCCTCCTCACAAAGATCACAGAATCAATGAGGTTCAAGAGGATCTCTGGAGGTCATGCAGTCCAATGTCCCTGCTCAAGCAGGGTAGATCAATCTTAAGGCCTGGATCAACATGTGGGTTCATGTTCAGCTCTGGTATACATTGCCAAGAGGCCTTCTAGAACTGCTATCACTTGACCAATGCACTGGACTAGGAGTGAGCAGGCAGCCTCTCCATACAGCTCACAAAAGCAGAAGTAAGAAGTCCTGCTGAAGCAAGATTTAGATCTAAGCAACAGCCTAGCTCATTAACTAAAACCAAATTAAAAAATTCAGATTGAAATGATGCTGCAGAAGGTCAGCACAAAGCCTCATCACCTCCCTGTGCAAAGTCACCAGCTCAGATTCTACCTCTCTCAGAGCAACAGCTAGTTAAGCACAGTTGTCAACTAAAAATCAAGCTACTCACCAGACTTGTCCTTTACAGAAGACAGGACTCTGGGCACATTCTCACGGACAAATGAATGAGCCTTCATAACAAGACGAACCTGGGAGATTAACAGAACACCAGTTTAATACCAACTTGCATCAAGTGTTTCAGGGTAGTGCATTCAGCACTTTGGTTTCTCTGCAGTTTGTACATTCCACCAGGAATTTCTTCTTCCAGGAATAAACAGGTGTTGACTACGTACCCCTTATTTATTTACTTAAAGGGCAATGTTACAGCATAACAGGTTACTGAAGTTGTTTTAGGGCACTTAGCATCCACAAGACAACTAGAAGTAAATGGAGTTTCAGCCTTGATACACGTTCAGAGAAAATTGTACAGTAAAATCTTAAGGTGGAAGTTGTTTCCACGTCAAAACAAGATTTGCTATTATCAGGTTTTCTCATTAGACCTGCCACGTGTTTAAGTCATAGACTAACTCCATCCATAGCCCTGGCTTAATTTAATGAATGAAAAAAACAAAACCACCCGCAACCAAACAACAATCCCACAACACTTGATTCTTTAAGAAAAAAAAACCAAAACAACAAATCACCTTCCAGTTTTGCAAACAAGCTTCAATATATCCAAGGATACCGAGTAGTTGCTTACCTGTTCCAGTATTACAATAAAACGGGAAGCTGGAGGCAGAGCATATGATACAGCAACATACGTTGGCCCAATCCCAAGCCCAACGGTTTGGAAGAGAGTGAACAGTGTCCCGTAGAAGAGAGAGTAGATTACACGATGGGAGGAACTGCTGTAACCTTGGGCCCACTGGAAGAAAAGGCTGTATGGAATGATAACTGTGGCACAGAACATGCACAGCCAAGTACAGAAGACGACCGGAAACTTTCCAAAAACGTAGACCAAGAGATCAAACCCAAGGACCAGCCTAGAAGGCACAAGGAAATAGACAACATTTAGTATCCACTGTTTCAATAGGAAGTGCTTCTGTTTCAGTAAATGGCTACAGAAGGCCAACCACACAGATTGCAGTTTGAGTCTCGACGGTAGCGAGGAAGGCAGTTTTCAGCTCAGAAACACAGGGCTGCCCACAGCACAGATTTAAATGACCACCTGCAAGCACACCAGAAGATAAAAACCTGAAGGACTCATGCCATCAGTGCTGTAAGGCACAGCTGTAAGCTGTCCTTACCTTCAAATCCAGCAGGGCTTAAGTGCATCTTTAAGATGAGAAAGTGCTTTGAGAATATGCTCAAAGGTCATCCCTGCTGGTAATTAAACACGTCACTGAATGATCCACTGCTAGCTGAACTGGGCCCAAAAGAGCTTTTGAGGAACACTCATAGGACATTACCACTAGTATGTTAAGAACCAGTTTCTCCACAAGAGTTTAACGTCGAGAGAGGCCTTCTCCACTCCCTCCAGTAGAAGCAAGATATTTTAACACCTAGCACCCAAACCTAATTTAATTCTGCTTTATTAAAACAGTAGACGTTTTTGGAAGTGACTCAAAAGGATTATAGCCAGAGGGAACGATGATCACCAAGTGATGAGCACCAGATACATGATTTCACTAACTGAACTTAAACATGCACTAGATGTGCCCTGAGAGCCTATCAAAGCCACCAATACTTAAGTAACAATTCTAAAGCAAATTAAAGGAACAAGTAATGCAAAGCATACCAACAAGATGTATTTGTTGTGAGGGTGGAGGCTTAATTGCAAATCGGATCCAAATTATCAGATCAAGTAGTTTAGAATTTTTTTTTTAAAGCAATCACAGATAATCCAGCCCTATTAGCCAATTTTAGAGGTAAATGTCTATTCCCCCAGCATCCACACTGCTATTAAGTTAGAATTAGCCAAATAATGTTCAGTAGTGCATGAGCCAGCTTTTATACCTAGACAAGATAACGGTAATAATCAAAATACAGCTCTGGCTTTGTACACTGAACAACAGATTATCAGCAAGATAAGCATGCAATCCTACTCATGCACACAAGATACATCTTGCCAAAAAGATATTCAAGGCAACAATCAAGTGTGAGGAAAGCAGTCCTTTCACAATCTCTTCCAGAACTGGCTACCTGCTAAGCACAAGCTTACGGGCTGTGCCAATATCCTTGAGATTTTTCCACAGGAAAAAATGAGAAGCTTCTATTTTTATTTAAGCACAAGTACAGTGTATCAGAACTGTCATTTCTCAAATCAGAAAGGACTGATAATGCATTTCAGGTTTTTTGTTTGTTTTTTATTTCTCCCTAAACACAGTCCTCCAAGCACTCCAAGCTGATATAAAAAAAAGCAGCCCACACCCACTGATGGCTCCCCTCCATTAGGCCTTGTGATGAACTAAGCATGTTAAATCCACAATTCACTGACAGTACACCTATCTGTAAGACCTTCCCAACATTTAGCTAACTGCATTTGAAATTTCCCTATCCACTCAATAACAATTGCATCAAGTTGAACACCCCCCCTTTTAACAGCATCTCAAGAAGAATTACTTTGTGCACCATTCTATAGTTTTCATGTAGTTCTGGCTCTTTGGGAGTGAGCATTTCCCAGCCTTGGCCCTTGTCCTTCCTGAGCACTCTTACCTTCCTTCATCAATGAAGTCCACTAAAAGTGTGCTGAGGATGAAGACGATGAGAAGAGCGATGAACATGTGATAGATTGTCCTGATGTGACTCACTTCAAATAGCTCACTGGGGGAGAGATTCAAAAGCTATCAGGCCATTCACATAGCAGATCACACATCACACTTGTGTTATGGCTTTCAAATGAAGCATCTCAAAGCAAAGGCTAGTTAGCTTGCTGTCAAGAGTACTTACAGTCAACTTATTTATTAATGGAAACTTATTATTAATGGAAAAAGCGAAGCTAAACTACTCACTCCAAGAGGGACCTCCTGGCAGTGAAGATCTTCCCATGTTCTGGAGGGGCTCTTAAGGTCCTGCAAATTAGAAGTAGAACATTCAAGAAAAAGAAAAAGAAAATAAGGCTTCCAGGAAACAGTCTTGTTATAGAACTAACGTAAACCTGACTTACTTGGCTTTGTGTAGCTCCTTCTCAGAGCAGGAAGCCGGGAAGAGGGAAGCTGAAGATGAGGAATCCAGGAGTGCTGACTTTGCCACCAAACTGTTCACAAACTCTGTGAAGTGACTGTCCACCTCCTTCATGAAAACTGGCTTCAGTTGCTGACAGAGCAAGAACAGAGCAGCAAGTTACCAAAATGTATCTAGAGTTAAGTAAGACATACTCCTTTTTTATCCCAGAGCAGAACAAAGTAAGGGATCCTGTGCCATCAGCCCACGGCTGGAGTCAATTGGACAGGAACATATCCAGCCTGTTCACACACCTCAGTTCCGAGAGTTCTGAATAACATTTATCTTTCCTACCAGACGCAATAGAGGAGCAAAGCAAAAATACTGAACTTCACACATGTCTGGAGGGGCAGGTACTTCACATTTTTGGTGGTGCTGCTATGGAAGCTGAGCTAAACATAATATAGACCCAGAAAACACTTCTCAGTTTTAGCCACAAGTGCAAACAAGATTTATATCATAGCCAGTGTAGTGCTACTGGAAGGAAAAAAAAAAAAAAAAAAAAAGATGATCTTTTCATGCTTGTGACTCAAAAATCCCACTCCAATTCTCCAGTATACAGCATAGTTCAATTTGCTCTTCGGTCTCACAGCATGAACTTCCAAAGACCTAATCTCCACGTGCCAGGAAGACTTTAAAAATAAGATGCCTTTAGAAGAAACTAAGCAATAAAATGCTCACTTTCAAAAAATATATATATTTTGAAATATATACTATATAATATATATACTATACTTACTTCCATAGAAGGTATTACACTGAGCTCTGGACAGTTCTTTACTACAGTGCAAATTCTCTTGCTCTTTAGATGCAAACAGGATCCCAAGATTTGCATAGTGGCATAAGAGCTATTCTTGCAAGTAGAAGATCAGGCAAAATGAACTCCCTCAAGGAAATAAAAGCAACATGTGCTCACTTGAAATCCAAGAGCTTAGAAAGCCACAAGATTCTAAAATTAGGAGCCCTTTAGAAGTCACCCAGTTATCTTCAGCACAGAAGATAAGCATGTTTAACAAAGTTTGTAGGACTACAAATCTAATCGTGTATTACGGTCATTGTTTGTTTTCTTTTTGATGCAAGTGCCTCTTTGCAAAACTTGTCTGCTCATCCTTTTGCTTGAGACTTTCTCAGATTGTCCAAGTATTTCTAGATGGTAGCTGCATATTATTTCATCTTATCTTCCTACTCATCATTGGCTCAAGAAACATTTGTTTTTCCCTCCAAATGCGTTCAGAATTCCTTTCTGATACTGATTTTCTAATCTTGAAGGCTGAAAAGCAACAAAACCAAGAAATCCATTTTCAAGGAGGAAAAGAATCTGGAAGTCGTACACAGGAACACTGCTTCCTTTGGAAGGCCTTTGTGATGGTCCATTGTTTGGTGTCTTCTTTGTAGAGCCTATTATATCAGAAAAAGCTGAAGCACCATTGTTTTTCGCTAAGCAGAAACAGGCACAAGGACTAATAACACGAGGAAATAGACCCAAAAAGCCAAGCTAAAAGGTCTTTGTTAGATGTAGATCTTTTAGGCGAGCAAAGCCCAGTAACAGGCAACGTATTCGTACAAAGTGCTGCTGCATAATGCAACAACAGCCAAGCAAGCAAGTTTAACTTTCTGGTAGTAAACGCAAAACCTGAAATAAGACCACATTCTTCACAGTGGTCAGCTTTAGTGAGAACTAAAAAAGCTGCAGTAGGAGAAGGAATAGATTAATATTTAACTTAGAAAACATTTTCTTACTATTTGGCAGCTGCTAGCATAGAACTAACAAGCTTCACTGGCACTTGATGATACAACTCGGTTGTCTATTCTTAGAGCTTTCCGGAAAGCAGAGAAGAGGGCTCAACTCTTGCAAAAACATGGATTAATCTTTTAAAAACAAGAAGTACAAAAGTTGAGTACTTTGGAACTACAGCCTGTAACACAAGACTGCTTTTTGGCACAGCCTGTTCTTACAGCACACATGCACGTATCCCTAACCGAGGAAGTCAAACAAATTCCTACTCCTCCTGGAGTGTTCTCATTTCCCTTCCAGAAAAGCACTATTCATTCCTACCACATTTTTATTTTTATTTTTAAATTTCCTCTCAGCAAGAGCTTAGCAGAAATAATTTCCTTATATTACACATTCCCTTTCCAGTCAGCGCTCTGCTGAGGCTGCCCCTCCTAACACAACCCTCCAAGGCCGACATCAACTTATGCACATATTTGGGCTGGGAAAACAAGATGCGAGTTCTCATGAAATAAAATTTGATGCAGACAGAGCAGAAACTCCACATTAACTGCAATTCTTCACATCAGAACTGCACAACGTATTTGTTACACTGACAACTATCACTACTGCCAATCAAAGGCCAGTCTAATTGAGTAACTGCCAGAGTAACTGTTCACACTCAATAAGCCAACTGATCAAGTCACTAAACACATAAAACATAAGAGAATGCACCTCACACAAACCTTCTCTGCAATATGGCACAGTCCTCTAGCAGAGCTTAACTGTTCACTAACTGGTGTTCCAAGTGTTACACAAGGAACAGGGCAGATCTGTTCAGCTGTCACAATTTAGTTTTAAATAAAAGAATCTGATTATTGGAACAACAAGGAGGGGGAGCAAATACTCAATAAATGCTATGCCATAAAAAACAGAAGCAGGCAAATAAATGATAAGTCAGAGGAAATTGAGCCAAGCAACCCTGTAACTTATTGCTGCAGAGAAATTCACCAGAGTTTCCCTTAATTTTACTCATTCTAACAGATACAACTGGAAACTGTGCTACGGCACACTGAACACGAGGAAGCGATATGGGATAACCAGCACAGCTTCACCAAGGGCAGGCCCTGCCTGCCAAACCCCGTGGCTTTTCATGAAAGTTTAACTGTGGCGCTAGACAAGGGGAGAGCCACTGACCTCATCTATCTGGACTTCAGTACGGCCTTTGACACAGTTCTCCATAACAACCTTCTCTTCAAATAGGAAAGATACGGATTTGATGGGTGAACTGTCTGATGGATGAGGAACTGGTTCAGAAATATCCAGGGAGTGTTGGTCAATGGCTCAGTGTCTGCATGTGACAAATGGTGCCTCTCAGGAATCAGGTGCTCTTTAACATCTTCATCAATAACATCAACAGCAGGACTGAGAGTAGCCTCAGCAAGTTTGCAGATGACACCAAGCTGTGTGGTGCCACTCAGAGAGACCTAAATAGGCTGAGCAGGGGGCCCAGGTGAACGTCATGAGGTTCAACAAATCCAAGTGCAAGGTCTTGCATCTGGATTGTGGCAGCCCCCACTATCAACACAAGCACAAAAAAACAGAGCACAGCCCTGTTGAAAAGACTTGGGGGTACTGGTGGATGGCAAGCTGAACATGAGACAGCAGCGTGCCTGCACAACACAGAAAGTCAACTGGATCCTGGGCCGCATCAAAAGAAGTGTGATCAGCAGGTCAAGAGAAGTGATCCTGCCTCTCTAATGTGCACTGGAGGGACCTCACCTGGAGTAGTGTCCACACAGGGAGTCCTCAGTACAGCAAAGTTCTGGACCTGCTGGAGTGTACCCAGAGAAGGGCCACAAAATGAGCCAAGGGATGGAACACCTCACCTATAAAGACAGGCTGAGAGCCAGAGCTGTTCAGTATAGAGAGAAGAAGGCTCCAAGCAGATGTGAAAGTGGTCCTTCATTATTTAAAAGGTGGCTGTAAGAAAGAAGGAGACAGACTCTTTACCACAGACTGCTGTGACAGGACAGGGGAAATAGTTTTCAAACTAAAAGAGGAGATATTTAGATTGGATATAAGGAAGAAGTTTTTCATGATAAGGGTAGTGAGGCACTGGCATCACTCTGGTTTCCCAGAGCAACCTGATCAAGCTGTAGAAATCCCTGTGCATTGTGCTGCAGTTAAACTGAATGAACTTTAAGGGTTCCTTCCAACTCTAAGGATTCTATGATCCTAAGTGGAGCAACACCAACCACCTACAACTCCCACTTAAACAAATGGAGGCTGACAGTGATTAGCACTTGTCAGAAATCAAGCATCTGTATAGGCCTCAGATACAGACCCCATAAAGGGCAAAAGGGGATCTGAGCTTCTGTTGTGTGAACCACCGGTCAAAACGATGAGGCAGAAGAGGAATTCTCGGGCATTTGTAACAGATGTAGGCTTTTATACTTAGCCCTACAGCTGTTCCTGTAGCTTTGAGGAATCTTAAATTTGCAATCTGCTGAACTCAGCATATAAAACCTGAACTTCCCATGTTTCAGGAGCAACTTCAGCATTCAAGTGCTGCTGAGCCTTCTGGTTTTCTTTGGTTCTCTTTGTGGATAAGAAACTGCCTTGACTACAGGCTACCACGTCTCAAACTTCGGAGCCAGAAAGCATTCAGAAAGATAACACAAAAGTAGAGTTTTACACCTAGGGAGGAATAATTGCATGCACCAGTACAGGCTGGGGGATGAGCTGCTGGAGAGGAGCTCTGCAGAGAGGGACCTGGGCATCCTGGTGGATGACAGGTTGGCCATGAGCCAGCAGTGTGCCCTTGTGGCCAAAAAGGCCAATGGCATCCTGGGGTGCATTAAATGAGCATGTCCAGCAGGTCGAGGGAGGTGATCTTCCCCCTCTACTCTGCCCTGGTGAGGCCTCATCTGGAGTATTGTGTCCAGTTCTGGGCTCCCCAGTACAAAAAAGACAGGGATCTCTTGGAAAGAGTCCAGCGGAGGGACGCAAAAATGGTGAAGGGCCTGGAGCATCTCCCCTATGAGGAAAGGCTGAGTGAACTGGGTCTGTTCAGCCTTGAGAAAAGAAGACTGAGAGGGAGATCTAATCCAGGTTTATAAATATCTGAGGTGTGGGGGCCATAGTGGTGAGGCCAGTCTCTTTTCAGTGGTATATGGAGACAGAACAAGGGGAAACGGACATAAGCTGCAGCATAGGAAGTTCCACACAGATGTGTGCAAGAACTTCCTTACAGTGAGGGTGACAGAGCACTGGAACAGGCTGCCCAGGGAGGTGGTGGAGTCTCCTTCTCTGGAGATGTTCAAGACCTGCCTGGATGCCTACCTGTGCGACCTGCTGTAGGGAACCTGCTTTGGCAGGGGGGTTGGACTCGATGATCTCTGGAGGTCCCTCCCAACCCCTACAATTCTGTGATTCTGTGATAACTTTCTCAAAGAAAGAAATCCAAGATCAAGTTGTCCCTCAGCATCCAGATAGTGTCCCCTGGAACTTACACAGCTACATGTGCTTAACAGTCCTTTAAAGGTTACTTGTGCAAGCATTAGTTGCAAACAGTGAATTGCAGTGGTTGTATTTGTCTGCAGAAAAAAGATATGAGGCAGATATGAGACTTGCTCTATCATGCCCTCAGGAAGAGTCACTCAGAGAAGACAATATATGAAATAAAATTAAGAGCTGACTATCCCTCTAATGGGTTGAATTCTAGGAGCGTCAGCACAAAAAGCAGTACACCCTTTGTGGAAGACACTTAAGTACACTACAGTTGTATCTACTATAAGATACACATCATATCTATATAATAAAGAGACTTTAAAACAGGAAAGGACGTCAAAGTTGCAAGGTATTTGTCCCTGTCCTTTAAGTATCCAATCCCTAATAACTACATAGGGCTGAGACAATTAGATGACCTCATCCTCAGCATGGGATTCTCTGCAATAAAGTGAAGCAAGAGCGCAGGACAGTTTGCCTCAAAGAACATGCCTGCTGTGAAACAATGGTTAGCAAGGAGGGTGCAGTTCACTGTTAGCTAACTTCATTTAATTTGGCCATAAATCGCCTTAGTGCACATTAAGGCAATGGCAGCTCACGCAGATGCAGATGACATGCATAGAAATTTTTCTCTGAGGATAATGCTTACTGAAAAGTAGTAAGATCACCTCCACAGCTAGGGCAATGGAAACCAAGAGATACAGGCCAGGTGCGTTAATGGCTAACAGGACACAGAATTTGAAGCACTGGACACACAAGCTGTCAAAGGGAACAAGCTAGCTAACAATTACACTGTCAAAAGTTAGTAGTGAGGCAAGTCCAATTTTATTACAGGCCTCAAAGTTCATTCTTATCACTGGACTCTAACCTATTGGGGTCAAACAAGACAGAGCTGTGTTCGACAGCACTACTCTTGTGCAAAGTGAGAAGAGATACAGACAGGAAGAGGGCTGTATAAAAGTCACCACACTTGAATTATGTCTGAATAGAATGTATTTGTATTCCAGGATTGAGGAGTCTCCAAAAGAGATGATCAGGCTCAATTATCCTGCTCCTCCCCACAAAGAAGCATTACAGTATATTTACCTCAGCTTCTGCTATTAGCTGCATCTTCCTTGTTATCACATGGTCCACATCAACGCGACCTAAGGAAGGAAGAGCAAATATTTAACAGCTGCATTTGCAGCAACGTGTCCCGCATGACTGAAAATACATGAAAAACAGCAGGCAGTAGTTCATTCACTAGTTTTTCATTAATACTTCTGATTCCTACTAATGTCTCAGCAAGTACAAAACTAAACTACAATGTTAGTAAGCATTGAGCAAGTATTTTAAACAGCCATTTAGGATCACAACGTGATAAAGCAGGCAACAGCTGATAACGTGCTGGATTTCTGAAAGCTTTGCAACTCCACAAATCATTCCAAGGTCCTTAAACATATTCAGCCTTGAAACAGCAATCAGAACAACCCTTAGAAGGTCATATCCAAGCATGCTGATCTTCTAGCATAGTTTTATCTTATGCACTGTGAACTAGACGAAAGATTAGGTTGCCTACTGGCAATGTAGAGACCTCCAGACAAGGTAGTCAAGACACAACTTTCTGTAAAACAACCATCCCTAAAGATGGGCAGACTGGCAAGTTGGAAGGCTGTCATCCTGTATTCAAACCTGGCTACTCTCACTCCTTTCTTCCCCCATCAGAGCATCAGTCTGACTGTATTTCCCCAAAACACTGTATCCCTTAAAACAGGTGGTCAATGCATGCTAACAACAGGTCTATGCTTGCTAAAAACACCATTGGGACTTTTGTCACTAGCAATACCAAGAGTTAAGTGAAATATTTCCTATTTCCATCTTTAATAAAACTATACTCATTTGTCAGCATTAGACATTCCTACCACCCCATATCAAGCAGGCAGTAAGAACAGATTTTGGACATAAAACACAGGCTATAGACTGAAGAATGGGAAGTGGCAACACCTTCTTACAGGTAGTTTTAGCCACCTCGTAATGCAACAAAGAATAGAAATAGGTAAATATCATGATTTCTTTATATTCTGGCTGCACGCAAAATTCACTTTTCACAGAAACTGTGAAATTCCTGGCTGCTAAGCATCTCACCTCCAAAACAAAAAGTTACCTCAGCATTTAAGTCATTCAGCAAGTACAACGGTGCGATAGACTGCCAGTCAGGGAACAATTCAAGAGTGTAAAATAGCTTTTGCCACTCAGCTCCTGCACTTCACTGGTCTCAAATGGGCACCCCCACTCACAGAAAAAAAATAAGCAAAACCATCCCACAAGCAGCAGGAAAGCATATCCTTCACAGCATCTCAAGAACTCAACTCCCTCACTGCACCACTCCACAATTGTATCGATAGTCCTTCTACCCATTACTGCTGTGCTAAAAACCGCCGTATGTTTACCTGCTGGCAAGCAAACCACACAGAGCTGTTGAGCTCACAGCCCAGCCACCTTTGCTGCAAAAGGTGAGAACTGTTCTCTCATCCACCTGCCAGTATTCACGAAACTGTGCAACAGGGCCAAAGACACCGAGACATCTGAGATGTGGGGGGCTGCACTATTTCCTTTGTGAGCTGAACAAAAAATGAGCAGCTACTGCTTTGACTGCATTTCCTATCACTACAACTACTCAGGAGTGACTCTCTTAAGAAATAAAACATCCTTTTTCCACTAACAAGGCCTTAAAAATGGCTAGTTAGGATAGTTTCACCTATACCTTAGCATATGACTGTAATATTCCTGTAAACATTCCTGTAAGGGAAACTGGGCAGGTCTCTGACCTGTTGACATCGTAATTGCTGAAGTTGTACATAGTGTCCCTCCTATCTCTTTATCCACCCACACACCAGTGAATAAGCAACATCACATAGACTAAAAACATAGCAAGGCTTAATGAGTCTTTGAATCAAGATCTCAGCATCTTCTCTACATGTACCTCACGCAGCAAACTAAGTAAAACCACCTGTAAGCTCAGCTTCCTTCTGAAAAAGAAGCAAAACTGTCTCCTGTTGAAGAAAATCTGCCCCCCAACACCACCAACACATCCTGCTGTTCCACAGCATGAGTTTATTGGGCAGGGCATCACAGGCAGGTAGCATAGAGTAGATAAATCATCATCTTGAATCATTCACCTTCTGCTGTGTGAGCTGCTACTTATGTTTCCTAAAGTCATTTAGAAATAGAATCATCACATGATTTTGAGCCTAAGAGGAACTGAACACCAATAAGAAGTCTAAATTTTCCACTTTCCTTTGCCATCAGAAATCCCTTTGCACCACTCTAGGATTACAGTACCATCTAAGAAATCAGACTCAAGGTCACACAAATCAGGCAAGCACATCTACCATTAAAGTAATGCAGGTTGTGAACTAAGAAAACAGGAACTACATTAAGAAATTGTAAAGAAAAAGATCTTTAAAGACTAGAATGACATAGTAGCAAATCACACAGGAAACCAGCCTTAAAGAGATCATGTAATTATCAAGACGTTTTCTTATTGCTGAAAATCTGAGCAACTTAAGTTTCACCAAAAAAATTTACAAACTGTCTTTTTTTTTTTTTTAATTGGATTTGATTTTCTTTTCTAATCTTCTTTTGTACATATTACAAGCAAGTGACATCGATAGGAGAAAAAAATCATCCCAATTCACACAATTCATTAATACTAAAGCCTGCAATCCAGCAAAACCAATTCTTGCATGAGATGCCAGCACTCCACTGAGCAAGCTCTCAAAAAATCAGTGTTAAAAAAGTACTCATTTTGTTTAACTGCTCCGGTAATTACAGTCAAAAGCACAAGTGGGAATAAGTCATGTGAGTAAAGGCATGGTTTGTGAGCACGGTTCCGGCCGGTGAGCCTTCATGAGCCACAAGAAGTCAGTCATCTTCCTTGGCTGTTCGATCTGACAAAAACTTTTCTTCCCAGAAAAGCTAAGAAAAGCATACAAATGAACTTCAATTTATTGTCATGTGTTCATACAACAGAAAGTACTTCCCCAGATGGTTTTAGGACAGGCTGTGCACAGCTGCATCTGATAACCAGAAGTATTTTCCCCAATGATTACAGAAGCTATTTAGCTTCAGGATCTTCTTGGAAAGTCAGAGATACCATGCAAACTGTACCCAGTACTGCCCTTCCATAAAAGGAGATGAAAAACATGATATTCATTGTATCTTGACCAGACTACTTATCATGGAAAAGGTGAGAGGAACACTGGCAGGAGAATTTCCTGTTACTGTCCAGGCTCCCAGTCTAAAATTACTGAAGACGCTGTTATCTGAAAGACCAGCTATGTCCAAGCCAGCCTAGCACAGGGACACAGCCAAGGGCAGAAGCATCCCACACCAGGTACAACAGAACACAAGTCTTATTCTGAATTATTCCAATTTACGCATGCACGCAGCAGAGAGAGAACAAGTTATGACTAAATTGCCTTCAACGCTCAGCTGACCGGCTTGAAAAACGCACAGGCTACTTAGGTCACCGTGCTGTAGCTGGGCAAGGAATCCAGTTAAAAAGCAAAGTCTGCAGGGACATGGAACCCAAACAGCCTCTTGACTAGCAGAAGGAAACAGCAGCATTCTCCAGGTCACACCTGCACATTCCCAGGCTTGACACAAGAAGCTTCTCAGCCTTCAACAAACCCACAGATTATAAAACATGTCAGAACATAAGAATTACCAGCATCCACACAGTCGTGAGCAAGACAGCTTTTTCCACCTAACTCCCTGAAGTACCCCCAAGAAACTCAATTTCAGCAGCTTATGCACACTTGTTGCCCTGGTCAGACGGTAAAGTCTGAAGTGCTCAAAGTTTCTTCCTGGTTCAAAGCTCCCTTCTCCTGTATCAACAAGGACACATGGCCTGTGCAGCTTCATGAACTTTCACACCAGGAATGATCCATAGTAACCTCTTGGTTAGAAGATAACAAGCCCTTTCCAAGACAAGCATTACCAAACATGGTTACTCATACCCAGCAGATATGCCACAACAGACTTGTTTGCGGATCAGTCCTCTTCAGATTTCTCCACAGCCATCAGTTTACTGGTTTCAAACGGTCTCATCTTTGCATTTCAGAGGGCCTCAATACAGTAAAAAGAGCCACGTCCTCTCTAAGCTTTTACATCTGCCATGCAGTTTCTATTACAGCTATTCCAGGTTAAATCTTCCTGCTACTGTACTGCCCAACATCAATATCCCATTAAGCAGAACAGTTTTGCATTTATTGACACATCTCCAGCTGAAAACACACAAATCTCAGGGCAGCCTGGATTTTGTCAAGGGATTATTGTTGCCTAGATCACCCACACACACTATGCCAGGACAAAATCAGTTGCTTAAGACACTCTAGCCTTTTCAAGGAGAAAAGAGTATGAGACCAACGTGCTTCTGGAAACAAGTCAATTGGCCCTTAACACTATTAAGTTAAAAAGCAGATTGTCTTTGCTAATCAGGGAGGATAAAGGGTACAAAGTCACATTTGTTTTTAGTTTTTCCTGCAGAAAGAATTGCTACAAAAATACTGTGTGTTCACTCGCATGCAAGATACTGCCCTGGGGTGTCTAGAATTCCTTAACTGCAGTAAACATGTTTATCATCTAGAACTCTGTGCAACTCAGGTGTGAAGATACTACAGTAAAAGGACATTGCTAGGCATTCCAGATTATTAGCCTTAAGCTGCCTGTGTATTTGTCAGGACTGATGATTTAGGAACAGTTATCCTGAAACCAGGATGAAAGAAAGCTACAAAACATTTATGGGTGCTACTTTTGAGCAACCCTTCCAGCTTAGTGAGCTTTCACACAAAGTTACAACTACTTACACAAACATACTAGACTGCATGAGGGGTCACTATGTAGAACACGAGAGCACTCCTTTGACTTGGTAAAGCTTTAAACTCTGTGATGCAGAGCTGCTGATCTAACCCAGCAGAGAGGAATTCCCATACAGAGGGATCCATCTTCTGTGTCACGGTCATCAGTCAGAGAGTGACACTTGTCTCCCTGTGGAAGACCTGCACTGCAGTTTGGACTGCACTAAAACATAACTTTTTATACTAACCCAACCACCAGGTGTGGACCTGCACATGAAAGCCCAGCACTCTGTCAAGACATCCGTCCCAGATTGTTTAGGTGCAGCCCACTCACAGCATCGCACCTGCAGTGATATGCTGCCTTTAAGAGATTCTAAAAAGAAAAGCTTTTAAAAAGCAGGCACACCCACCTACCAAGTGCTAATTATCACAGCTATATTTATTCTTTACCCACAAGCGTGCAAGAACTCAAACTTACTTATAATGGTTAAGGTGTTTCCACGGGTAAAGAGGTAGAAGTCTGCTTCTAAACCCATCATAACTGTTTCCCAGCAGTCACTACCTGCAAGTTCCTAAAAACAGCATTGATGTAGCAGCCCCATTCAGCCAGGTTAAAAGATTAGTACCACCAACAGCTGAAAGTCTCATTTCTGCAATAGTCTGTGGGACAGCTTTCTCTCAAGGATATCTTTGGAAGAAGAAATTTCACTTGTTCTCAACTTATATTTGCTTCAACTCCTGTTCCGCTTGAAAGATACACAGTGAAATAGTGACACTATTCAGGAGAGCATTAAAAAAAGTTATCTCCTTCAATTACTGTTATCAGAGTTTTGGAACAGAGATTCGTGTGGCACGTCGTGACAAACTAGCTTAGCTTTTCACTCATCCCACCTCCCAAAGAGAAAGAATAAGAGCTGTAGTTCTGTCATTCACCTCCTCACAGAAAGCAGTGCAGCATGACTGAGGACTCTGGGGACACTGTCTCAAAGTCCACAGGCAAAACCACTTAAACATCCACAAATTAAGCCAGCTGTAAGCCACATTACTTCCCAGCTGGCCACAGTACAAACTAATACAAACCCAATTAATCCCAAGTGAAAGAACCTCACCATTGCTGGAGTTTTGAAAGGATCTGTCGCCATCAGGTCTCCTCTGCATTTCTTCATTCTCAGAGCTCTTGTAGGTTGTGGTGGAGCCAGACGGGCGTTTTCTTACACAGTCTTCCCCTGCCATTGCTGCCTAGCTAAACCAGAAAAGGACAGGAAATAATTAATGACAAAACCCCATTTATTCTTCACATAGTTACAGAATGAATTACATAGCCGCCTCTGCTCCACAGTTAAGGTTTTTCCCTTGCTATTATGAATTCAGAATAAGGGCAGTTGAAAAGAAGCACACACTGGCATTAGTCACTGTACTGCAGGTCACACTGCCTTTCCCTTACTGTATCTGTAAAAGAGCAAAGTATCCAAGCAAGTTCTCCCTCACCACTACAAAAAGAACTTTCATTTTCCCACAGCTCCCTCCTTTCCCTTACAGATCTAAGTATTTAAAATGACCTGAGCCTTTGTGAAATCTTTAAAAGCGCAAAAAGCCCTTGAAAATGCTCTCCAGTAGTCAGCCTGACAGCAAAATTTGTCTTCAGAGAGCTCTGGCACGTTTGCTTTGCAAGATCACCCGCATGGTTTTGCCTGAGCCAAGCCCCCTCCTGTCAAGCTTCAGTTCTCACTGAAAAAGCAGCTTCCTCAATAGATCCTTGTATTTTGTCTGGCCAGACAACGGCTGTGCTGCGAACCAGGGAAAAACAGGAAGAGAAAATCTGGTTTGAACACATCCAATGACAAAAATCACTGCTAGTGTCAGAGCTGCTAGCTAATAGGGAACACCTGATCCGTCACAGCTGGGCTGAGAAAAAGAAGTCAGAAAGCAACTAAAGAAGGATTTCCTCAGAGAACTGAGACAGACACTTCCACAAAAGGGAAACTGGACCCTTATGATCATATGCTGGCAGGAGTCAGCTTCCTGCATTTGTTCCTCCAGCAGAGGACCTGCCAATCTTTTGGGTACACAGGAGCAGCTTCTGCAACACCAAGCAAAACATCAATTGACCACAAACCATTTCTTGCAGGACACTGTCCCTTTTCAGCCCCACGTAAGGAAGTCACAACCAGGTCAGTCTACATGCTATAGAAACAGAAACCACAAAAACAACAAGCTTCTCAGCTGACTGATATATAAATTACAGTGGTGTGAGCTTATACAAAAGCCTTTACCTGAAGAACACAAAGAACCAGGCACGAGAACAATACGCCTTCTCACAGCAAATAAATACTCTCACTGGTGCAGAAATCCTGCTGGCAGGATCTAGCCCCCTTCTAACAGCTCTCTGCCATTGCTGCTGCAATCACTCTGAACAATCCTCTCACCTTTAAAAGCAACCCAGCCACCACTGTGACAACATGACTTTTTCCACCTTCCTGCCTTCCCACTGCAGCAGCACAGGGCCGTTCTGCCCACCTGTGGCTTAAAAGCACATGGAAAGCAGCCACTTCAACCCTTCTGCTCTTACACCGGTGAGATGCCCCAAAGCCACATCTGTCCTTGAACAGCAGGGGTTCTCTGGCTCCACTCAGAGCGCACTGCCCACCTCCAAGAGGCAAGGAAGCGCTCCTTCCTTCCCACCACAGGCTGGGAGTTGTTAGCATCCAGCAGAAAGGTTAACAGAACGGAACTAAAAACAAGGAGTTCTGGGAGGAGGGAAGGAAGGTTCACGGAATCACAGAATGGCCTGTGTTGAAAAGGACCACAGCGATCATCCAGTTCCAACCCCCAGGCACGTGCAGGGTCACCAACCAGCAGACCAGGCTGCCCAGAGCCACATCCAGCCTGGCCTTGAATGCCTGCAGGGATGGGGCATCCACAGCCTCCTTGGGACCAAGTTCAGGTGTTAACGAAGGACTCGATGCCCCATCTGAGCCCTGGGGATACAGCAACACAGCCCCGTTAGCACCGGCCACAGCGATTTTTGGCAGGAAAACAAGAGCCGTGCTGGGGGAAATCGAGCAAAACAACCGCTTTCCTCACTCGGATTCCGTCAGAGCAGCCTAGCACCACGGCACCCTAACACAGCGAGCCTCTGCCACAGCCAAAGCTCGGCGGGACGCCGGGCTGAGCCCAGAGCGCCCATCTCATCCCTCGGGAGCATCACAACGCCGCCTACCACCGCCCGCGTCCCTCCGAGCAGCCCACACGCGGCTTTTCCCGGCAGGCAGCCCGCAGCCGTGCCGAAGCAGCGCGGCACCCTGCGCCCCGATACACGCGCGGAAGCGACCGCTGCACGACGACAGCTCCCTCCTTCCCCTCCTCGTCCTCCCCAGCCCCGAGGAACTCTGCCCCCTCCCGGAGCCTCCCGACCCCCCTACAGCCGGGATAGCCGGGAGCGGGCCAACCGCTCCGAACCGGCCGGGCAGGGCTGAGACAACGACCGCCCGCAGCCCGGACGGTCACCTCCGAGAGCCCGCGCCGCTCCTCTGAGCGCCGGCCCCACGCCGCTCTTCCCGCCTCCGCCGCTCGCCGCGCGCCCGCGCACGTCACCGCGCAGAGGGAGGGGGGAGCGGCGGCGCCGCCCATTGGCCGCGGGCCGCGGCACGGGGGGGGGGGGGGGGGGGGGCCCCCCGGGGGGGGCGGGCGCCCCCCGGGGGGGGGGGGGGCGCGTGAGGCGCACGTGGGGGGAGCGCGCCCCCTGCGCTCCGCTCCGCCCACATCTCCGCCCGCACGTCCGGGTCCGGCGGGACATCCCGCCCCGTGGAGGCTGTGGGTGCGGCCGGCGGGATGCCGGAGTCGAGGCCGGGAGGAGGACCCCGTCCCTCCGCCCGTCCTTGTCCTTGGCGGGGAACGCGGCGGTTGCTCAACAAGTGCTCCGGGCTTCGGCCCGACTCGCGGCCTCCGCGGGGAGATCGTTTCAAACGGTTGTGCCGGAGCAAGGGCAGATGTTGTTACGGGGGAGGGAAACGAGGAGGTCCCGTCTCTGTTCGGAGCGTCAGAAATGGGGTGAAAGGCCCAACCTGCAGCCCGCACACTGCCTGCAGCAGGGAGGGCACGGCGCGTGACGGGCTGTGAGTCACTGCGGCACGTCAGCGAACTCCAGTAACCTCTGTCGCTGCGGCGTAAACGGGGAAGTGTTCCTAAAACGAGAACTGAGCCGCCAACCTCCGCCTCTTCTCCTCTTCCTCGCAGCTCCAGGGCTGTGCCGTGCGTGCGGTGCGCTGACCGGTTATTCCCGGTGTAGGGCTTCTTAGCAGGAAAACTGCTATAAAGATTGAAAAAGAGGAAAAAAGTATTTGCTGACATGCGAATGGCTGTGCTGGAGCCTTCACAGAACTGAGCCCCTGTCCTCCACAGTGTGGACTTAAAACCCACTTTGTGTTTTTTTAACACAATTCCTCTTAGAGATGCTCTCACGGCTGCTAGCACGCAGTCACGGCAGGCTACTCACGTTGCAGTGCCTTGTGGTGCCAGCGTGAGCAGGGTGAGCAAGGAGAAAAAGGGGAAGAAACTGAAAGTTTCCTTTCCTGAAGATCCAAAACTTGCTGATGGAACTGTTGTATCTAATCAGCAAAACCTCAGCTCTGGAGGGTAGGAAGATCAGATACCTTTGGCAGAAAGAAGAGAGCATCTGGAGTTCAGAGCTGGTTGCGGGGCTTCATTTATTGTGCCTTATGGAGATGAGGGGTAGGTAGCACCAAGTTTGTTAACAGCCCTTAAAGAACCTCTCTGGCCCAAACATCACTGTGTGATGGGTGCTTTGCTCGCTTCTGGTCTCTCAGCGTTTCCCTAAAATCTGTATCACAGATTCCTCCTGCTCCAGGTGTGTTTGCAGGTAGCACACCCGACCAGCCCTCCTCGTTGCCTTTCTTCCCAAACTTTATAAATTCAATGAGGCATTGCCACCACTGATTTTTTTTGCCACTTGCGTGCATCTTCTGCTCTTGTCTTCACAGGTCCAAATTGCAGCAGTGTTTCATCAGCTACATCCTTTACCATGCTTGTCACCACGCTGCTTGCAATCTTGATTTTCTTGAGCGTTTTACACTAATCCTACAGGCTGCATTGCTCAACGATTGCCTCACCACCACCACTTCTCAGCACTCCTGGCTGAATCACGGCGTTGCTCGCCCCCACATCACAACTGGTGTCCCAGACACGCCAACCTTTTTGCTTCAGCTTTACTTGATCTCACTTCAAGAGCCAGGACAGGCTGAGGGCTGAGGTTTTCACAGCCCCTCAGGAAGACCTGCGCCTTCTGCTGCACCTTGCCATAAAGCTTGGCACTGTTTCCAAACAGATGGGATTGATGCTGCTTTTTCTTAATTCTGCATAACTCCGTGCACTACTTCAGGCTCTAAGTCACTGTGGCTGTTTATTGTCACTCATTTTCACAGGAATTAGAGCTTCTATCTGGGCTTTAGATTGAGTCGCCCAGAAGCCTCAGCACTTTCTCATGTTTCAGTCGACTGCAGTATTCCCCATAATATCATAGAATCATAGAAGGGCCTGGGTTGAAAAGGACCACAGTGATCATCTCATTTCAACCCCCTGCTCTGTGCAGGGTCGCCAGCCACCAGACCAGGCTGCCCAGAGCCACATCCAGCCTGGCCTTGAATGCCTGCAGGGATGGGGCATCCACAACCTCCTTGGGCAACCTGTTGCAGTGCATCACCACCCTCTGTGTGAAAAACTTCTTCCTAATATCCAACCTAAACCTCCCCTGTCTCAGTTTAAAACCATCCCCCCCCTTGTCCTATCGCTATCCACCCTTGTAAACGGTCACAATATGCTTTTCTAAGTATGGTTTAAACGTTTCTCAGTACGCGTGCACCATAGCACCTGTATAAATGACAATGTGTAAATGACAGAGCTCCCTCAAGTGGTAGGAAATACTGTAACATGTTACACTTTTTAAGGAGTTGGTGTTTTTTGAATCCTTTTTTAACAAATAGCAAAATGGCAGTGAAGTTAGACCTGTATCATCAAGCCAATTCGAAGTGTAGCAATGAATGGTCTGGTTTTGCGTAGCCAGAAAAAATGGTGCTGCTGTAAGGCCAAGGTCGGAGCTCAGTCAGCAGTTAACATAATACCAAATCACACATCATTTAAGAAACTGTAGCAGGCTTCAGCCTGATCTGATAACGCATGACTGCATTTTGGCAAGAAAACCTAAATCTGGCTCCAGCACACGTCACATAGCTGAGGTGCCCAAAGTGCTTATAGATCATGCAGACTGCTTCTGAAACCTCCAGTTCAAGTTTTCAGAGTTGCTGCTATGATCGCATCGGATTTGGTGTGTAATTACCCTTGCTCCTGTTTACTTTTGGGAACGTTCAATATATTTGCTACAAGAGATCCAGATTAGCAAACTCCTGTAAAGAGACAGGAGCAGCAGGAATTAAACGTGGGCCTCGGAGAGCAATTCCTCGTGCACTTACAAGCAATGCAGTTGCTGCTTTTGCCGGCGTTTAGAACAGGCAGAGAACCGAGTGCAGTTCTCTCAGCAGAGGGCAGTGGTTTCCTCAAACATCACTCAGTGCTACTGAGCTGAAATCACCCTTCCATAAAGAAGTGAAGCCCTGCTGCCTGTCAGCAGGTTGCCGAATTGCTCTGCAAGCTCAGAAATTCACATGCTGACCTTCTTGCCAGGCCAAATTTGCATTGTTTTCCAAGAGGCAAATATTTTTTCCTTGCCCTATCATTTTGAATGAGCTGTGTCAGTTTAGCAAGTTTGGGTTTTTTGTTTCAATTGAGGATGTTGTTTTTTTGGTATATTTTTAAAAAGAAGCTCCTAAACACCGCATCATGAAAGGTACTGAATCCATGTGGGTGTATCTACATTTTAACCCTGCTAAGTTCAACTGTGTTTCCTACAAGTGCTTTACTCCTTCTGTAACACCCCAGCTTTGTTTTGTGATCTTTCAGATTGTCTTTGAAAGTTACATTATGAGGCCATGGGAAAGGTGTGGGGAAACGAAATGAGCTGCTCCAGTGAGAACAAATCAGCCAGGTTTTCTCTCTGAGGAAACACGTGGTCTCTGAGGTCACCAAGAAGAGATCTTAGGGAGAAATGTCACTTAGGTAGTCAGGGTGCTACCTGAACTCCACAGTGAACACCAAGGAGAAGCCCAGGAGCTTTGAAATGCAACCGGAATCATAATGCTGAAAGCGGTTTCGCTTCTTCATAGTGAAAGCCCTCCAAAAATTAGAGGATGTGGGGAAAAGTAATACCTACCAAAACCTATTGCTCAGAGGGGAACAGATATCTCCATAAAGCCGTGGGAGACCAAGTCTCCATTGTAAACTGAGAAAGAAATCATGTTTTCAGCTTTTAGCATGAGGCATTGCCCCATTTCCACCTTGTTTTAATCTCCGCAGAGACGGATGACATCTACTGAAAGTAGTCCCAAGCAGAAGACGTTTCTAAATCTGTCCAACCAGCAATTTGGCTGTTTCCATGGCAGTGATGCAGCCAGGCCTGCTGCTTTCCCTTCTGCAAGAACCCTTCCCAAGCCTGACAGAGAACACCATGCATTTGTAGCTGCCCTGCCAAAACCTTCCCTCTTCTTTGCTCAGTGCTGTACCCATCTGTTCCTTTTTGCTTCCCCTTCCCTTTGGAAATACCTGGCCAGAGAGGAAATCTCTGCATTCGTTCTCTTTTCTGCTGAAGCCTGCCTGACTCAGGCAAAGGAGGGAGTGCTGCTGGGTTTGAGGGATTGGAGACGGCAATGCTTTCCAAGTTTCCGAGCTGCCT